AGTTTTACTTAGCAAAATTTACGTATTATTTTGTAACTATAAACACATTTTCACTGTACTTATTACGTCTTTTATGTAAAAATACATTAAAAAATACATTTAGCAGAAAAATTTATAGATAAGATTGAAACATTTAAATTTAACATTTTCATCATCTAAAAGTGACAGTGTTTTTACTGTAATTTGAATAATTTTTAATGCTAGTTCATGAGTTACAAAATGATTACTTGTTTTCAATATACCTATGATTTACAGTAATACATTGTATTTACTACAGTGATATACTGTTTTGGAGTTTACGGTACTTTACTTTTTCCATTTGTCTGTTTTTTTTTATGTAATTTTTACAGATCTTTTTTTACAGTGTATAAATATCACATTTGAATCTGAAAAGATCAAATCCTAAAACAGCAGAAAGTCTAATTGTGTTCTGATCCTCATTGTTGCACCCCCCACCCCCACCCCGTCGCTTGGACACACATTACATTCAGTCAACTCTGAGATTAATCTCATGTTTTCGTTGTCGGTGTTCTGACTCCGCTGCTGCCTGGTGGCTGCAACATGCTTCACAGCAGTGTCCACTAGAGGTTTATTATCTATCAAATGTTACAGATCATGAGTGAAACACACACTAATACTGAAATAATCATTTGCAATCTACTTTAATTTTACAGACATCCTGCTCCTTCAACCAGCACAATAAAACCTCCTATCAAGGCTGTATTGCTCTCGCTCCCTCTTTCATAAAATTTACGTTGTGCTTTATTTGTGACTTTCATAGCATGCTGTTTAAATTGTACTTGTCATTGCACTTGTTGTTCTTAGAGGAAATATAGGTACCACTTTACAATAGGGCTCCCCTTAAAGATGGCTAATAAATACTAATTCCTCTATAAACACTTATAAATCATTAATAACTGCTTATTATGCATTAATTAAGGGTGACAAAGAGACAAAATTGACCAGTTTCTTGTCAAATAGTGCGCCAAATCTGCCACCTTTATATTGCCATATTAAACATTTCAGACTAATTTGAGACATCAAACATGGGGTCCCCCAGGGTTCAATCTTGGGACCATTACTTTTCATTATTTATATTAATGACTTTGTAACTTCTTCTAAAATATTTCATAAGGTCGTTTTTACTGATGATACTGACTTTTTTTTTTTTCTTCACTTAAAAATGCATCGGAACTGGAGGAAATAGTAAATGCAGAACTGCAAAAGGTAAATACCTGGTTCAAGAGTTAATATTCATTGTAAGTATCTAAAACTATCGGTAATATTATATGTTGAAAACATTAGGTTTACAAATGCTTATTGTGCTCACAAGGTAGTAACTCAGTCTGAAATGTTTAATGTAACAACTCTAGATAAAATATATAGGTGAACAGATTTGGTTCACTATTTGGCAAGAAACTGGTCAGTTTTGTCTCTGTCACCCTTAATTAATGCATATTAAGCAGTTATTAATGATTTATAAGGTGTTTATAGAGGAATTAATAACATATCGATAAACTATGTATTTGCTATCTATAAGGGGAGCCTTATCATAAAGTATATATGTTTGTTTGTTAAAGCTAAAGTTGAGCTACAGGGGAAATCCTCCTGCAGCCTTTCTGTGGAGTATCAGGCTGTCTGTCTTGTTGATTTTCTTGCCTGTCCTTATTAGATGCTGAGAGACAGACATGGCCATCCGCCCCAGGTCTCTCCCCCTCAACCCAGATGAAGCTCTGCAGCAGGGTGTGAGCAATAATGAATCACCATTAGCCCGGGTCAGATGGGCTGACAGCCAATTTACAGGGGGGCTACAGGAGCCTGACATCCAGGTGAGTGCCAGCACTTAACTCTTTCATCCTGAGCTCACGCAGGTGTTTTTAAAGTCCAGATTGGAGCTGAGGATCGTTTATCTCAAACTAGTGTGAATTCTTCTGCGTGAAATCGGCCGTAGTGGACTTCACATGTAGGAACATCATGACACCTAGTGGTTAGAAATACTTACAAAAAGGTGTTGGGACTTCTGCTTGAAGGCCAAGTTCACATCCAAGTCTAAAAATAAAAAAAAAGGAATTAAAAAAGTTTAAAAGTCTTTCCGGGAGGAAATGCATATCGCCCGCCGCCTTTCATGCCAGAGTTTACTAGATCATCATCTGTTGAGAAGAAACTGTGGCTGTTTTGGTCGTGATCCTGCACGATCTGACAGTTCTCAGAGTACGTGTTGTGAATGACTCTCGGCTACTATCATATCAAAGTTTAGCTCAATATCTGTGAAATTGACTGAGTTGTTGCCATTTTTGTGTTTACTAAGTTTGATCAGCTGTGGCAGCCATATTAAATTGGGCTGAACCCGAAGCTTAAACAATTGTGGGCGAACAATCAATAACTGCTTTCTAAAAGTTTCATTCAGATCCGACAAGTGGTGCATGGGATATTTTGCTAACAGACACACAGAGCTGATCCTTATGCTTAATGGCAAGGTTTTAAACACAGTTCTTGTATTATCAGTTAGAGTATAAGTTAAGGATGACTCTCGGCTACTATCATACTAAATTTTAGCTCAGTGGCTGTAAAATTTACTGAATTGTAGCCAGTTTAGTGTTTGTTATATTAGCTTTGTCGTGGCTGTTATCTTAAATTGAATTCACTCAAAAAGTTAATCAGTTGTAGGTGATCTTACAACTATAAGAGCCTATAAATTAAGACGAAATGAAATACAAACTCGTTTTTTAAGCAGACGTGTGATAACAGAACCTTGTTCTAGTTTGTGTGTTAATTTAAATACCAATAAAGTTAAAAGTTTTAAAAGCCAGCTGAAGCCGAGCTCAATCTGTCGGGGAAAAAAGCAGCTATATATGGAGAGAACATCTGCCGAAAAAACAAACTCTCTTTCATGATGACAAACAGGCCATCTGTGCTGCTTGCTTCATGTCCAACAAGCACACATTTCCTGCTCCGACTGAGCCAGGAAATAAGTTTGTAAAACTTCTGATAAGCAGATTTATGAATTAAGTTTATTTTGAAAGTTGAAAAAAAAGGAAAGCTTAAGTCTAATATTCCAAAACTGCACATCTGGATTCAAATTTAAGCCTTTTGGGTGGGATAAAAATTGCATCATCTCCTTTTTGTTCAGTTTTTGTGAGTCAAATATAATTAACTAAGAAAATGCTTTGAATAATAAAGCTTTTGGATAAATATAAATTGTGAATTTAACATTAATTTAAAACTAATAACCGTTTTCTGGCAGACAATGCGACTGTGGTGCTGAGCAGCAATTATATCAGATCTGAACTTAATGATGGACACTTTAAAATTAAGTACATAAATAAATCTGCTATTTTTGGAGCTGGTCAAATAGTTGGAATCCAAGTGGAGGAAAAAAAAAAAAAGTAAAATAAAGATAAATAGCTCCAGCTCTCTGATGCTCTGAGGATGCAGCTTTCATTTATTATGCAACCATAAATGCACCGAGTGAGACGGCAATTTTTCTCTGTCTGTTTCTATGGCGGAGTGTTATGAATAGCAAAAAACGAGGTAGAGAAGTGGTTTTGGCCCTGTTTGATTTTTTTTTTTAAATATGCAAACAGTGTGAAGAAAGATGAACAAACTGCTGATTAAAACATGCTTCACAGGTACAATGAATTTCCTAACTCATAAAGTTTGACAATAAAAAAAAATGCACATTAGCTTTTAAATATCCCTGGTTTCATTAATCTGAATGAGAGACTGTAATTTTATTTTCACTGATAATATGACTACTAAAGTCAGTGTGTTAATATAAACATGTGTGCTAGCAGAACACTTTGCACTCAGACTGCAGGCTTACTCGCGGTTCCTAGAGTTTCCAAAAGCAGAATGGGAGGCAGAGCTTTCAGTTATCAGGCTCCTCTCTTGTGGAACCAGTTTCCATAATTCTGCCCATAAGGCTGACACAGTTCGGTTTTAAGACTGGGCTTAAGTCTTTCCTTTTTGATAAATCCTATAGTTAGTTGGCTTGGTTTCCTGACCTATTCCTAATCCTATGCTGCTATAAGCGTAGATTACTGGAGAACAAACTGACCTCGTTTCATCAAACAAGCACTTACAATTACATACAAATGAATAGCTTGTATTTGTAATTATTCTTTCTTAACATGTGATTTACGTCTTCTCTTTCCTCCTAGAGTAAACCTGATGGCCTCCATCCTGGACCTGCCATTGTGTATCTGTTCCTCCTTCCTGTCCTCTCAGATCCATCCAGTGGAAGCAGATGGCCGCTTGTCCTGAGCCTGGTTCTGCTAAAGGTTTCTTCCTCATGAGGGAGTTGTTCCTTTCTACAGTTGCCTCTGTGCTTGCTTAGAATGGGAGACTGCGATAAAGTGAAAACTCAAAGCAGTCTATAGGCTGCTTAGATAAATAACATAAACTGACTTTATATGTATGTTTATGTTTATGTTCGGTGTCCTGAGCCAACTTCTGTTGTGATTTGGTGCTATATAAACAAACTGAATTTGAAATGAGCTGCTTTCTTTTGCAAACATGCTCTTAGAAATAAACTAAGATAACGTAAACCTACATTGTTGCACATTTCCTGTATATTTTAACCATCTTCAGGCGTTAAAGGGTTAAAGCGTTTTCCGTGTTTCTTGACTCCGCCCCCTTTGAGTGACTCAGCAGCAAAACAGGAAGTAGAAAGCGCTCCGAGCTCAGCGCGTTTATCAGCTGCGTGTTTACCGTCTTTAAAACTTGAAATAACCTGTAAAGGCTTCATTCAAACGAGTTCAAGACGAAAACATCTGGACTTTATTTATAACAGAAGACGTTTCGCTTCTCATGCGAGGAGCTTTTACAAGCCAAAGAACAAAGGGGTTCGAGCTAAGCTAAGCTAACGTAAGCTAGATAAACATGCAGGTGTCACTCGTTGTAAAGGCTTGTGATTTCACGTGTGAGTTTTCTTCTGTTTCATCAGCTTCCAAACACTTTGCTCTACTTTCACTTTCAGGAGAAAACGGAAGTGAAGGATCATGGCAGGCAGGTTCTCTCTACCTGAGGAGGACCTCACCTGCCCCATATGCTGCACCATCTTCAGGGACCCGGTGGTCCTCAAGTGCGCCCACAGCTTCTGTGGACCCTGTCTGCAGCAGTACTGGACTGCTGGGAGGGGGCGTGACTGTCCCCTGTGCAGGACCCAGAGCCTGGATGACCCGGTGCCCAGCCTGACCCTGAAGAACCTGTGCGAGTCCTGCGTGCAGGAGGAGAGTCGCGATGACGAGGATCCAGGGGCGGAGCTGTACTGTGATCCAGGGGTGTGCCCCCTCCATGGGGAGAGGCTGAAGCTGTACTGCTTGTTGGACAAGGAGCCGATCTGTGTTGTGTGCCACACCTCGAGGAAGCACAAGCAGCACGACTGTTGTCCCATAAGTGAGGCACTTCTGGATGTGAAGGTGAGTGTCGTACAACCCTGATTCTAACAAAGATGTGTTTCGACTTTTACAATTCTTTGAAAAAAAAGGTTGGTTTGATTTTGATGGCAGTAACTTGCTTTTTAAAAAGTTAAATAAGGATCACGTTTCCTGCTGTGAACAAAAAGACAACATCTAGACACTGAGCTTGCACATCTAGTGCCTCTCCAGATGTGCAAGCTGCCTATGTCTGCAATACAAATGCACCCCCATACCATCAGAGAGGCAGCATGGAGTCCATGCTTTCCATAAAGAATGTCTGATCACAAAACAGTTATCCACTTTCCTTGAATCCGTTTTAAACGAGCTTTCTTCTTTGCATGACCAAACTTTAAACTGCGTGTCTGACTGACACCGAGCCCACGCAGGGATGTCCAGAATCAGACCTGGCATTTTATTTTTATTATTTTATTGCAGTACTGTCTAAGGATCACAGGCATCTCATAATGACTTTCAACCTTGTTTGGTGCACACAGAGTTTTGTCCAGCACTTGACATCTTTTGATGATATTATGAACGTTAGATGATTGGATATTCAAAGTGTTTTCAACTTCCTGTTAAGGAACATTATTCTGAAATTGTTCCACTACTTGTAGACTGCATGTGAACCTCTGCCCATCTTTACTTCTGAAAGATTCAGTTTCTGTAATAATAATAATTATACCCAGACATCGTACTAACCAGATGTTAAGACTCCCTGAAGGTAGCCACCTATTATTATCCACCTGAAAAGGGTCTTGCTCTTCTGTCAACGTTAATGCAGGATCGGCACTGTGATGTGCACTATTACTCTTATTGGCGTTTCGAGTTACCATGGCGACGTAATATGCAAACAAAGACGCCATTTTTCTCATTGGAAAAATAAATCAGCAGTTTTTTAGAGATAGTAAGCTAAAATTTGGTGTGACGTCAGCTGAGAGCAATGCCCTATGAATACTGAATTCAAATAAAAAATCCAAGATGGCCGCCAAAGTTAAATTTAAACGGCTTTACCTATTTTTACACATACGAAGCTGAAATTTGGTTTGATAGCTGAGAATGTTCCCCTATTACATACTGAATCCAAATAAAAAAAAATCCAAGATGGTCACCATAGCTTAAAAGAAACCAAATACTATAAGGCATTAATTTTTTTTGCCACGTTCAGCTGAGATTTGGTGTGGTGGTAGCGGAGAGCAAACCCCAACACAAAGTACTGTCAAATAAAAAGTTTAACATGGCCATGATGTGGCAGTCTCCATCAAACGTTTCTCCAGGAACTTTCTACTGTATTTTCCGGGTTACAAGTCGCTTCGGTGTATAAGTCGCCTTTATTTAGAAGCGTATTTCAGAAAGTGCAAGAACAGACATTTAATCTGAAATAACAATAACTAGGGATGCACGATATTGGGATTTTTGGCCAATATGCCGATATGTTAAAACTTATTTGGCCGATAAGCGATACCAATACCAATTTTTTTTTTCTAGACCCAGTTACCAAAAATACCTTTTACTCCAAAAAGGAGCTGAAACTGATGTAACATATAAATATATAATTTATATTTTATAAAAATAAAAAATAAACTTTTAATGTCGTTTAGCTATTTTGATGGAATGGCTTATGTCCAATATTTAACTTTATCTGATACCATGCCGATTATATTGTGCATCCCTAATAACACACAGGGCTGACTGACCGTCAGGATTGCCGGTACATTTCCCGGCGGCCTGGCGCTCAGTAGTCGCCGAGGGACTGGACTAAAAGTTCGGTTCATTTTGCGCTTTATTATTTTAAATAAACAAGCCGCTCTTGCCCGGTCTCACTCCATGTATTACTGAAGCTGCAGCAGCTATGGGAAAAGACGGACCCCCCACCTTCCACCCCTTTAAGTCTGTCTCAGCACAGACACAGGTTGCACACCTGCCCTCGTGGACTTACGCTCCTGACACTTATATGTTTGCACGTGGCGTATAAAAAAATATACATTGCAGGACTGGCCATCTATGAAAAAAATGAGCGACTTATAGTCTGAAAAATACGGTAGTTTCAATATACCTCTCCAGCTGTTTTCTTGTTTAAACCACTTTTACAGCCTTCTGTTGCCCTGTTCTTTTTAGTTCTGCATTATTGCCATCAAATTCAAAACAGTTTCGTAGTTTAAACATCCGATGTGTTTACTATGTTCCAGCATGAATAAAATATGGGTTTAGGATCACAAATCGTTGCATTTAGTTCATATTTTTCCTATTTTACACAACCCTCCTAACTTTTGGAACCATTCTATAATGTTTTTTTGTTAGAATTAGATAAAATGCTTTCCGTTGTCACTCTTAACTATCTGTGCAGGAGAAGATGAAGTCTGCTCTGAGCTCGTTGCAAGAAAAAAAGGATTCATTTGAAAAAATGAGAGGAAATTATGAAGACACGGTGGAACACATTCAGGTGAAGTTCCTTTATTTTTAATATGTTTCGAATCAGTTTCCGAACTGTATCTTCAAGCAGGGCTATTTTCCAGGTCCAGGCTCAATTCGTGGAAAGGCGAACCCGTGAGGTGTTCGGAAAACTCCACGACTTCCTTCGTGCCGAAGAAGAATCCAGAATGGAGGCGCTGAGGAGGGAGGCGGAGCAGAAGACCACAGAGATGAGGCAGAGGATTGAGGAAATTGGGACAAATATATCATCCATGTCTGAAACCATCAGAGTTTTGGAGGAGGAGATGGCTTCGGAGGACATCTCTGTACTTCATGTACGTTTTATCATAATAGAACTGTGTACAAATAGTGTTGCTTTTGATTATTAAAATAACTTCTTTTTGTTTTTTTCAGAAATCCTGCAGTACACTGGCAAGGTATGATGAAGCAATTTCTGTTTATACGTTTTATTGTCTTCACGGCATCTGGTTCTAATTTCTGCAGAGCAAACAATCCAGTTGAAGATCCAGTCATGGCTGCTGGAGCGCTCATAGATGTGGCCAAATATGTTGGCTCTTTAACGTTCCAAGTGTGGGAAAAGATGCAGAAAATTGCCAAATACAGTGAGTTCATGTTTTAAATCATAGAAAGACTATTTCACTTCTTAACTTCAGATTCAAGCTATTGTATTTTTCGCCCTATAAGTCGCGTTTTTTGCATAATTTGCATGTCCTGTGACTTATACGCCGAAGTGATGTATTTATGTTTTTTCACCATATTTAAAAACCAATTCTTGGCTGAGATATGACCATTTTCATTCATTCTGACTGAAAATATTGAACACTACCATCTTCAGCCACTAGATGGGACTTGATAGTATGGCATGCCGTTGTGTCATGTAATGATAAAAGTGGCTACGTCTGCCAAGAGCAACCGTCAAATCAGCTTAATTTTGCTGCGCCACACCGGCAAAATGCAGATAATTTGACCATTAAAGTGCATTTATTAAGTAAAAGTTCAACTGAGACACACCTTTGCTATAATTTTGAGCAAACAAATAATTGTTTTTAAGTGTTAATCTGATTAAATTTTTGTTAAAGGCCTCCCGTGCACGCTCCCGGGGCCGCCATTTGACAACCAATCGATTTTTGGTACAACACCGGCCCACGTTTCCAGGTTGTCAGCAGTGACACATAATAGATGCGACGTATACGGTGAAGCGACGTATTTACGGATTTTTCCACTTTATTAAACATTTTTGGACTGATGCGACTTATAGGGCGGTGCGACGTGTACGGCGGAAAATACGGTACCTTTGGCTGAAGTAAAAGGTGAAGTTCAGCTGACGTTTTTTGTTGTTTTGTCCAGCTCCAGTCACTCTGGACCCCAACACCGCGGCCCCCTGGCTCGTCCTGTCAGACGACCTCACCAGTGTCTGTGACAGCGACGAGAAGCAGCGGCTGCCCAACAACCCGGAGAGGTTCCACCCCGACACGGCCGTTGTGGGCCGGGAGGGCCTGACCTCCGGCAAGCACGCCTGGGAGGTTAATGTGGGAGACAACACAGCCTGGGTGGTGGGCGTGGCCAAAGAATCCATCAAGAGGAAGGAGAAAGTCACCTCAGTCTTGAATAACGGCTATCTGTGCGTGTATTTTTACCACAAAATGTACTTCGCCGGCACCTCGCCTTTGACGCGACTCAGCTTGAAGCGGAATCCGCAGAGGATCCGAGTGCTGCTGGATTGCGACAAAGGCAGGCTGTCGTTCTACGACCCGCACAACAACACGCACATCTACACCTTCAAACACCCCATCACTGAGGCGGTCTTTCCTTACCTCTGGGTGGGCTGCCAGACGTGTCCTTTGACGGTCGAACCCATGGAAGTGTCCCTGAAAGTTGCGGAGTTTTGCTAAGAGTCCATCTGATTCAAATAGTACCATTTCTAAGCTTTAGAGCGGTGATGTTGCACATTTATTTAAAAATAAAGCACTAAAATATTTGCATTTTGAATAATTACCACTTAAACTTAATCATGCACACTGAACATGAGACTAACAATCCTTTCTGCACTTTTTGAAAGCCTAACCATCTAGAAAATACTATTTATATGTATTACAGTAGTCCCTTGATTATCGCAGGGTCACGTTCCAGACACCCCCATGATAGGTGAAAAACCGCGAAGTTGGAATGTTACATTTATTTTAGTATTTATATATATAGTAAGGCTTTATAAACCCTTCCCACACTCTTGCAATGTTCTAAACTCTTAAACCAACATAATTTTAACAACATACCTATATGTACTGTTAGATCTGGGCGATATGGACCAAAATTAACATCTCGATATTTTAAGCTAAATGGCGATATACGATATATATCGATATTTTTTATTATTTCCATAATTAATAACAAAAATATATTTCTGAGTCGAAGCTTTGTCCCCGTTGTCACATAGGCACATTTAATAAGAAACCAATGTACAAAATAAATGTCTAAAAAATAAACTAATCCTCCTCAGCTGTGCCGCCTTCACTATGTTAGTAAGCGTGTGTGAAGCAGCATGTAAGGGGCTGTGTTTGTATTCAGTGAGGGAGGAGGAGGGGCCGCGTGCAGTTGGCGGTGCCGATGGGCAGAAAAAGAAGAACTAACGGGTTTTCAAATAATTATAATGCAACGTAAAAATACTGATATAGACGATATAGTCCCATCTTATATGAAATTATCTTGATATTTTTTAAATATCGAGATATCGCCCAGCCCTATTCTCTACAGTACTGCAAAATTTTGTATGGGTACTCATCAGCTCTGCACACCAGAGCTCGGTTCCGGTTCAGAAGACCTAACCTGCAGCGACAAAGTCGCCGCCCCGTCCAGATTAAAGTGCGCGTGGATAATTGAGCTTCAGGATTATTTGAGACCTTCCTGGCAGTTCTGTGAGCTTAATAGGTAGATCGTTACTTCTGACTTTGCGTTACAAAACTTCCCCTCCATTTCAGTAGAAAGCAGCGGCTGGAAGCACTGTTGGCTTCTTGGTAGTGTAGTTCTTTTGACTGGCGTTACAGTGTAGGCTTATTGAAAGAAAACTACAAAATGGCGGTGCATGTCCGAAGTTTTTTTTTTTTTTTGTTAACTTTTTATCCCGTACTGTCCCAATCATGTGAGTCATATTAAAGTTGACAATCGTCTGTCGTTTACAATTTTGCGTTGAAAAACCGCGAAAGAGAGAGTCGGCGAAAGTCGAACCGCGATGTAGCGAGGGACTACTGTATTACTAATAAAATATATTGTAACTTGTGCAAATTATTGGTGTTGTATTTCATCATCAGTGTATTTTTATGCAATTCATGTTTGGACAATAGATACTTTTTTGTGTGTTAAAGTCTATTGCAACAAGAATGTTCAAAAGTGGCCTTTGAAACTTAATGAATTCAGAATTAATGAATGTGCTGTGTGGAGACTGCATGCTTTGTTTGGATAAATGGGTTTGTCTACATTTATATAATTAAATATCAATAAATTAATATGGTTTGGCTTGATGTGAGCATGCATGGTGTTTGATAAACATGTATGGAAATGATTCAAATAATGTGTTTTAACAGAATTGGAGTGCCTGTACTGTTCAGCTGTTTGTGGGGTATTTGTATGAACTTTAGAAATCCAAATCTTAGTTTCATCTAAGCCGAGTCATATGTTTTGTGTTTCGTCTTTGTAAACCAGTGATTTTGCAGCTTTTAAAGTTTCACTTTAAGCTTTTGCACAAGCTCAGGTGAACATTAAGCACTCCTTCAGAATGACATAATTCACGGTTAGTCCAAAGCTGCTACTCTGTTTCTGAAATATCAAACAAATTACTCATATAGTTCAGTTTTTATGTTTTGTCTGATCCATAATGAGCAGTATTGATTCTGGTTTCCAGCAGCAATGAGGGTATTCTTATAAACAAAAAGTTGTCCTCTGGCTAAATTTGCTGGTCAATTCTAGATAAACTGGATAATTTGAAGTTTGCAGAAAATCAGAATGGGAGGAAGATCTTTCAGTTATCAGGCTCCTCTGTTGTGGAACCACCTTCCAGTTTCTGTCCATGAGGCTGACACATTGTCCAGTTTTAAGAATGGGATTAAGATTGTCCTTTTTGATAAATCCTATGGCTAGCTAGCTTGTTATGCTACTAGACTTGGAGGACAAATTGACCTAATTTCCTTAAATGACTTGCTAAAACTGAACAGTTTTCATTTGATATTATTTCAATCTTTACGTAATTCTTGACCTGCCATTGTGTAGCTGTTCCTCTCAAACCCAGCGGGTCAAAGCAGATGACCACTTGTCCTGAGCCTGGTTCTGCTAAAGGTTTCTTCATGAGGGAGTTTTTCCCTTTCCACTGTCGTCTTCATGCTCAAGATGAGAATCTGTGATGGAGTTAAACTCAAAGCAGTCTGCTCCTCTGATGAATAACGTTAAATGATTATTTTTATATATGACTGTTTCTGTTCAGTGACATGGCGCTGTATAAATAAACTGAATTGAATTAGAAGTCATAAATTACAGCTAAACTTTGTGGTTTCGCTAATATGTCCATTTGTGAAGCACTCTGTATAAGTCTTTCCCCTCCTTCACACAGTTCGTCCCTTGTTCTTAGCCATTCTCTCTGATGCGTGTGATGACAGCAAGGAAACTCCCAGGATGCTACGTTGCTACTTGTATACAGCTCTCAGTGCTACTCATTAAATATGAAAAGCTTCCTTGAATGTCAACGTTCATGCTCAAAAATCCAACAAAGTTGATTGACAACCTGACTTAACTGTGTTGGATTTTTTACCTGGATTATTGAGCATGAACTTTGATGTTTTGAACCACTTTGGTTATGGCTGCCTTAGAGGAGTCGACGGGGGAGAGGGTGGGTCCCATAAACCATCTTATCACCAACAAACTGGTTGACCCACAACGTGAGCGTGCTGCTTGTGGGACTGAGTTTGTTGTGGCTCCTCGGACTGATGAAGTCCTTTGGATGAAGGATCTCGACAAAAAGTAGAACCCATCCAGATGACCTGACTTAACTTTGTTGAACGGTTCATGATGAGCTCAGGCCCTGATGGCGTAAGAGCAAGGTCATAGTTCAGATAAGTGTCTGCGATGTGTAATCATGAGCAAAAATGAAGTTTTTATTTGAGTTTGCAGCAAATGTTTAGTTTGTTTCCATAAAATGTGCAGTCAAGTCCCACTTGACAATTAATCTGGTGGTAAAAATGCATTTGAAACGTGCGATTCATGACACAACTTTAATTTAATTATTTAAAGGAATGACATCCAGGAAAAACAAGTGCTTTTGCTTGTATGTTCTTACGTGTTCGTCAAAATAAAATCTGAAACAAGCTGGATCGTTTATGTTTTTATTTGTCGATATTCAGCCACGTAACAGACTGCGTGCCTCTAAAGTTAAACTGTTTCACAAATGTATTTCACAGTAAAGGAACCGTTTTAAAAATATATTCTTCTTTACAAGCCACCGTTCTTTAAAACTAAATTGCACAATCCATCATTTCTGCTGAGTACAAAATGATTATTTGTGTGTGTGTGTGTGTGTGTGGGGGGGGGGGGGGGGGTGATCAATTTTAGCAAACAGCTATTCTTTGAACATTTAACCGGCAATTAAAAAAATCTAGTCCTGGATGTTGCGTCCAAGCATAAAAAAATAAAAGCCCTGTAGTGTTTGAACTCCTAACTCAAAGAGAGAACTATATAAAAATGCCTTTATTTTATTAATGACATTACTATTCCAACAAATTTGACAAACAAGGCATTATGTTGTAGTTTAAATACACGTGTCTTAAAATGTGCAATTCTGCATGTGTTTGTAATAATTCGGCTTGCAAATATAAACAGCAACATCACAGTCACAAAACCCACAAACTCACGCAGATCTGCTCTTAAAACATAAGATACATGAGAAGACAAGAGGAAAATGAAAGATTTATGTTAACATTTGCTGTATGGTACAGCCACACGTGAAGATGTAAACAAAAGACTCATCAGGTTTCCTGTTTCAATAAAACATCCACAGTTTGGCCTGCAGGGGGCGCCAGATAGAAGGCTGTGTTGTATATACAGTGAGGAGAATAAGTATTGAACACCCTGCGACTTTGCAAGTTCTCTAGAAATCATGTAGGGGTCTGAAATTTTCCTAGGTGCATGTCCACTGTGAGAGACATAATCTAAAAATAATAATAATCCAGAAATCACAATGTATGATTTTTATTTATTTATTTGTGGGTTGCTGCTGCAAATAAGTATTTGAACACCTGTGAAAATCAATGTCAGTATTTGGTACAGTGGCCTTTGTTTGCAGTTACAGAGGTCAAAGGTTTCCTGTAGTTTTTTCACCAGGTGTGCACACACTGCAGCAGAGATTTTGGTCCATTCCTCCACACAGATCTTCTCTAGATCAGCCAGGTTTCTGGGCTGTCGCTGAGAAACACGGAGTTTGAACTCCCTCCAAAGTTTTTCTATAGGGTTTAGATCTGGAGACTGACTAGGCCACTCCAGAACCTTGATATGCTTCTTGTGGAGCCACTCCTTGGTTCTCCTGACTTTGTGCTTCGGGTCATTGTCATGTTGGAAGGCGCAGCCACGACCCGTCTTCAATGCTCTCACTGATTGTGTGGGGTGGACAGGTGTCTTTATGCAGCTAACGACCTCAAACAGCTGCTTCTCATTGAGAATAATAAGTGGAGTGGAGGTGGACTTTTTAGAGGTGGACTAACAGGTCTTTGAGGACCAGAACTGTTGCTGATTGGCAGGTGTTCAAATATATATTTGCAGCAGTAACACACAAATAAATTATTAAAAAATCTTACATTGTGATTTCCAGATTTTTTAAATTTAGATTATGTCTCTCACAGTGGACATGCAACTAAGATGGAAATTTCAGACCCCTCTATGATTTCTAAGTGGGAGAACTTGCAAAGTCGCCGGGTGTTCAAATACTTATTCTCCTCACTGTATGTGTCAGCTAAACAGAGTGAAAAGAAAAAAAAAACATTTAAATGAAACTACAAAAGGCATCACAGGCATCAAAATACAAACCGGATTCCAAAAAAGTTGGGACAAGTCCATTTTTACCACTGTGTGGCATCCCCTCTTCTTCTTACAACACTCAACAGACGTCTGGGGACAGAGGAGACCAGTTTCTCAAGTTTAGAAATAGGAATGCTCTCCCATTCATGTCTAATACAGGCCTCTAACTGTTCAATCGTCTTGGGCCTTCTTTGTCGCACCTTCCTCTTTATGATGCACCAAATGTTCTCTATAGGTGAAAGATCTGGACTGCAGGCTGGCCATTTCAGTACCCAGATCCTTCTCCTACGTAGCCATGATGTTGTGATTGCTGCAGAATGTGGTCTGGCATTATCGTGTTGTAAAATGCAGGGTCTTCCCTGAAAGAGATGACGTCTAGATGGGAGCATATGTTGTTCTAGAACCTGAACATAGTTCTCTGCATTAATGGTGCCTTTCCAGACATGCAAGCTGCCCATGCCACAAGCGCTCATGCAACCCCATACCATCAGTGATGCAGGCTTCTGAACGGAGCGTTGATAACAACTTGGGCTATCCTTGTCCTCTCTGGTCTGGATGACATGGCGTCCCAGTGTTCCATAAAGAACTTCAAAATCGTGACTCATCTGACCACAGAACAGTCTTCCATTTTGCCACACTCCATTTTAAATGACCTCTGGCCCAGTGCAAACGTCTGAGCTTGTGGAGCTTGCTTAGAAAGGGCTTCCTCTTTGCACTGTAGAGTTTCAGCTGGCAACGGCGGATGGCACAGTGGATTGTGTTCACTGACAATGCTTTCTGGAAGTATTCCTGAGCCCATTCTGTTATTTCCTCGACAGTGGCATTCCTTTTTGAGGTGCAGTGACGTTTAAGGGCCCGGAGATCACGAGCATCCAGTAGAGTTTTACGGCCTTGACCCTTACGCACAGCGATTGTTCCAGATTCTCTGAATCTTTTGATGATGTTATGCACGGTTGATGATGATAACTTAAAAGTCTTTGCTATTTTACGCTGGGTAACACCATTCTGGTATCGCTGCACTATCTTTCTGTGCAACAATGGTGGAATTGGTGATCTTCTTACCATCTTGGCTTCTGAGAGACACTGACACTCTGAGAAGCTCTTTTTATACCCAATCATGTTGTCAATTGACCTAATTAGTGTCAAGTGGTCTTCCAGCTGTTCGTTATATGCTCAATTTCCTTTTTCCAGCCACTTATTGCTACTTGTTCCAACTTTTTTGGGATTTGTTGACACTGTGAAATTTTGAATCAACATATTTTTCCTTTAAAACGTTACATTTACTCAGATTAAACTTTTGATCTGTCATCTATGTTATATTACGAATAAAATATTGAAATTTGCCATCTCCACATCATTGCATTCAGTTTTTATTCACAATTTGTTTAGTGTCCCAACTTTTTTGGAATCCGGTTTGTACAAGAATAACTTCACATATGTTAAAACAACAATTGTTTGTGCACTCGTTATCTCATTGGATCTTATCACCATCATTGAGGAATTGTGAGTTTTACATTTCCTTTTGAACCTGTACACTCATGTACACTTACAAATGTACATATTGGGTAAACTGATGGGAAACGTATGGAAATTTCCATTAGAAAAGAAAAAGGTGAGGTTCGCGCTCGGTGCGCTGTCGTCTACTCACAGGCCAACTTGCTATCAAAGCTCGACAGGCCGATGGCAAAGGCTTGAAGAGCACACATGGGGTAATTGTAGTCCAGCGTGAAGATGTCTTCAGCGATTCGTCCAAACTGCATGACAATGTAGTCAGCTAGAGTTTGGAGGAAAAAGCAGTAACTTTAGAATAAAATATATGCTGAATGGTGGACAAGACAAAAACTCTTGTACTTACGGTCATTGTCGTGAACTATCTGAAAGTTCTTCACCGACGCCTGCGTGACACGGCCGTGAAAGTTTAGCACGTACGACTGGGTGTCGTCGTTCCACACGGGGGACTTGTTGTGCAGCTCGATCAGGTTTTCCAGCGTGTTATTCTGCCACCGGCTCACGAGACTCTCCTGCTCCTGCCTCACAAACATGTTCAGATTTCACCCCTTGAAGCTGAAGCTCTTATTTAGAGGGACTCGAACAACAAACAAGAGATTCTTCTCCCCTCCCCGTTGTGCCCCTGGGGAGAGGAAAAACCAAGCTTCCCCACTCCCTGCGAGTTTCCACCCTCGTTTGGGCACAACAAAGTATTTGCAGCCACACGAAACAAGTGGCTCGCAAATTTGCCTCGATACGAAAGTGACGTCGAGAGCAACGACGAAAGAGAGACTGAGGACGTGTGTGATGACGTTTTCCTTAGGCTGTTCAATTCTGACACTGACGAAGACGACTTTACTGGTTTAAGTGCACAGGAGGAAGATGAAGATAGTATTCAATGACTTTTCCCAGTAGGCTACTGTATATTTTATCAGCAGTCGTGTTACATGCACTGTTCGTATTTAATTAAAAAGTTAACAAATCATTCAGTGTAAATATCTCATGTTACAATGTGGACACTTGGCGTATACAAAAGTGCGGCTTATATGTGTACAATTTTATTTTTTTATTTAGTGGGCGTGGCTTATATTCAAGTGTGCTCAATAGTCCAGAAATTACGGTATTTTAGTGGCAAATACAAAAAAAAAAAAAAGATTAAAATAACAGTTAAGGAGAATAGCTTTGCTAGTAACAGACTCACGTTCTGAGGCCTTACAGGAATCCTCTCATAGTTCATGTTCATGCCGGGGATGACAACAGTCATCTTCCGTGGTCCTTTAAATCCCAGCACGTTGGTTTCCTTTAAAAATGCACAAAAATTTAACATTTCACCAAGAAAAACAAACAAACAAAAGATAAAGTAAAACCACTTCCAGCTTCCATCATCCACTCACGTAACAGATGGCAGCCAGCTCCTGCCGCATGGAGCAGTCCTCCATCGGAGTCCCCGTGTTTTTGCTGGGATTGCCGCCATTGTTGTAGACTGTAAACTTCGTTCCCATAAGATTGGACCTGATTTAAAACACACACACATTTGAGAGGCTATTTACCATATCTTCCGCCGTACAAGTCGCTCCGGCGTATAAGTCGCATAAGTCCAAATATGTCTCAGAAAGTGGAAAAAACATTTAAAAGCCTAGAGGGCCCTCTAGTGGCTGCAACTGGTAATGTTAACTGGTTCATGTATATGAATGAACATTTCAAATGTCAGTCAAAATTGGGTTATAAATATTAAATATGGGGGGGACGACATATATTAGTTGCTTCGGTGTATACCGGTAAGTAACAGGACTTGCATATTAACGCAAAAAGATGCGACTTATATGCCGGAAAATACGGTGCATGGTTTTCATGGATTAGCAAATGGCGTCTGAAACGCAGGCGAGAAAATCTAAGAAGGTGCGTGATGTTACCTCAGTTTGCCGATGAAGCTCTCCCCCCCTCGCGACAGGTCAGTGGCGTCGACTGAAATAAGGTAGTTGGACGTTTTGCTCTTCTTCCTCTTTCGGCCTGCCAGCAAAAACACCTGGAAAGCGCGAGATTAAAACACAACTGCTTAAAATACGCGGACATTTTAAATGAAGTGTCTCATCTTTCTGCGGTTCCAGCTTGTGCATTTAAAGCTCGCCTTTTTGTTATCGTCTCGCTCCAAGTGCATGAAGTATGTTGGGTAGAGGCCACGGTCCATGCCCTTCTTGTCCCGGCTGATTCTGCATTTCACAGCGACACCGCGGGGGGCAGGACGCAACACAAACTCCTCTAGATTGGCCACATCCGAGAGTAGACTGTCTGCTGTGGGAGATCCAGGGATCGCTACCTCCTGGGTAGAATTAACAGTTTTTATTACCGTTGCTTTATTTAGACATTATTTTAAAGGGGGAACTCATCTATGCAGCATTGGTGGCTTCTGAACAACTCACAGGAACGTTTTTGCCACTAGCAGATGAGGCGGGCCTGTTTGTGTCGGTTTGAGAGGACAGGGAAAGCGTCCGCTCTTCCTCCACGTTGTCCTCGTGCTCGCTGGCTTCGTCAAAGTTCATACTTCCACACAGGCCTGGTGGAAGAGGCAAAGTGGTGAAAACGTGTTGATGAAACCTGCAAGGCTTTTTTACAACTCGTCCTGCTGGGAAGCTTATTCACTCAGGACAGAAGAAGTAAAAAAAAATAATAATCCAGAGTCTCAAATACAAGAGAATCCAGGAGAAACAGTCCCTCGGGTACATTTAATAATCCTTTTGGCTCGTGTGACAAACGTTCACAAGAAATGATGCAACATTTAGGAAATAACTGCAGGCGAATGCTTTGAATCATTCCAGGGGGTATGAATTCTTACACATTGAATTCAGCTCTTAAATGCAAAAGAAAAAGAAAAGAAACCGAGAGAAAGAGTTGGAGCTTTGAGAAATTAGTTCTTGTCCAAAATCTTGTCAAAAACTAGGGATGCACAATATTGGATTTTTGGCCGATAACCGATACAATATTTTTAATATACTTTCCTTAGTCAGAACATATTCCTCTTATTTAGGCTTATTTGCTACAAAAATTGTGCACCAGCTGTAAGAGCTGGTGACATATATTCAGTAGCAGCCATATGATATGCATAGCGCTTTAACTTATATTAAATGAAAAGTGTTGACTGTTATTTATTAGCATTAGCCGCCTGCGATGCTGTCTCACTTGTTGAGGCTTGTTCCAGGCTCCTAGCTGCAGTGTGGGATCCTCTGCACTCTTGTGCATGAAGGACAGTTTTTTTAAGTTCAAAGTTTTTGTCTATTCATTGTGCCGTAAGACTAATCATGCTAACAGGCTAGCACGACGTCCAAATGTCTGTGGTAAAACTCACCCAAGTGCTATCGGCTATTAGCTTCTCAACGACGTCGGAAATGGCGGCTTTTAACTCGGAAAGACTACGTCGGCAAAATGCTGCATCTCTGACTGGGGACGATGTAGCGAGGCTCAACTTAGTCCAAAAATCTTCGGAATCCAATATCCTCAACGAAAAAAAACGTCCACACCACCAACATTTTGATGTCTTCCTCTCCGCCGTGAACGCCATCACGTTGAGCTGGCGCTGCAGGCGTTCTTGTCACTGGGTTGTCATACAGAATCATCGCCTTTTATATATCGGTGAGTTATTTTGATGGAAATGGCCGATATCGAACTTTAACGCTAATATCGCCCGATACCGATACAACGCCGATAATATCGTGCATCCCTAAAGAAAACTGTTTTCGTGACCAGTGCTCCACTTGTAAACTCTTCTGTAGCTATGTTTACATGCGCAGAATTCTCTGACCAGATTGAAATGTGTTCTGTTTGAATAATTCAAATGTGTTGTTTACATGGGCACAATCTGTTCATGATGAGCGTTTACATGCAGCGGGCTTTGTTCTGAACAGCAGTACTGACATGCGCAGAGTGGTAAACTCTCCTTAAAAAAACCACCGAAGAAGAAGTTCTACTTCCGGGTGAACGTAAACAAACCTGAGCACCCAAAATGGACCCGCGACAGGTTTTAATGATGTTGGAGACGTTATTGCACTCCCTGACTGAGCTACAGGTAATATAAATCATTTTGAGCTCTTTCAAAGTTTCTAGTAGAAATGTTGTGTCGCTCACCGACCAGTTTTACTTCCCTGACATGCTAATATTATTAGCGTTAGCCAGGCGGAAATGGCAAAGTCGCACATGCGCAGTCAGGTCAGTTTTTCACCATCAGATAAAAATGAACAGATCAAGCGTTTACATGCGCACCGATCGGGTTTCGGATCGGCGTAAACCACCCGTTTCGTTCTGATCAGAAATTATAACGGATCGCGCCGAATACACAAAAAATAACCCGAACGGAGCGTTTACATGACACACTTTTATTCCGACCGGCCATTTGATCCGGTTACTTATGTCCATGTAAACATACCCAGTGAGAGTAGGTATAGCGCGGTTCTGATTAGATTAGCTTCGTGGTTGCTAACAGCGGCGCTAAATAAACGAGTCTCGCTCCACTCGCTGTTTACTTAAGATTGTTAAGTTTCATGGTTTTATGCTAGCTCGCTGGTTTTGGCTAAACCAGATAAATGTATTTTGAAAAGACTGAAAATGTAATAAATACTGAGGTGAAAACCACTCCACTCGACAGAAAAACTGTTAAATTATACGGGTAATCAATCGACTCCAAGTTGTGGTTTTAATTGGCCGGGATTGAAAGAAAATATACAGTATCTTTATTAACATAACACTGAGTAAAAGAAAAGAAAAGATGGGGGAAAAAAAAAACATCTTTGTCCCTCAGTGGGGACATTTTCATGTGGTAACTTTAACATAAAAGCCAGGGTGCTGGTGAAAGGACGTGGCTCACCTTGTTTCTGCAGCATCTCATGAATATCAATCTTGGGCTCTAGCAGCGTCTCAGTGTCTCCGTCTCTCTCCGTCTCTTCAGCAGCAGGGGACCGAGGCTGAGACTGGGGCTGACAATACGCTGGGGGGGATTGAGTCTGGGACTGGCTTACTGACAGAATTTGGATTTTCATCCCCAGATCGGGGGCTTCTGAGCCCAGAAACGCTGCTGGACCATCAATACCTACAGAAGAGAAAAGGAAGTTCTTAGATTTATTGTTTTTACAATATGAGTTGATAGTGTTGAGCTTTATCAGTTACTTTTTCATTCATTTTATTTTTCTCAATCTAAATTAGCAAAGAGCTGCAGACCTAAGCTTCTCTGACATTTTCACATAGTTGTAAAATGTTATAGCCAGATCCTGAGAAAGAAACAAGCAAACAAATGGATGAAAAGAAGCAATATTTATTTGAGGAAAGTCAAGAAAGGACTTGAAGCTTTAGCCCCTAAATATAATTATTTATATTTTAACAATCCAATCTAAAAGCAGAGCATTATGCAATGATTGTACAAGTTCAGAACATTTCTTTCCTCTGTAAGTGAGACTAGGCAGAGACATAAAATAGTTCCCCTTTACATAAAGGTACAAGAAGTGCATAAAACCAAAATATAACCTTTCCTTACCGTCTACGATGACATCATTGGTGCCACTGAGTTGCGAGTCAACCAACGGGGCCTGCTCCTCACCGCACCGTACTCTGGGGCGGCGAGGCCGGGCCTCTGTGTTGGGTTGGACCATCAGGGGTTCCTGGCGCTTCCTTCGCTGTTTCTGTTCCAGCAGTGCCCTCTGTGAACACACGGGTCAGAGCTCCTCATTCTGTGTGCAACAATATACATGCGCTCCACAGCCTGCCACTTCAAAAATGTTTTAGGTTCAAAGATTAAACACACACAAAAAAAAAGGTGGAAGACAAAGCTGTGAGTAATTGTGTGAATGTTTAGGAAGCATTCACGCTATTGTGATCCATTTTACTTCCGTACGTTTTTCAGCGCGTTTCTGGTCCCGCAGCTTTCAATCATACATCAAAACGTTCAGCTCTTTCAGAACAACCCTGCTATGCCTTTTGGTATTGGTGCAACTTTAACTTTTTGAAATATTTAGCCTTTTCTGCCATTGTTTTTCCTCATAAAAAATGAATTGAGCTCATTTTACATCCTTCGAATCTTTAGATGTGTTCACAACCTTTTACTGCTCCTTTCACATTTTGTTCTGCTTCAGCTTCTTTCAGCTTCCTTGTGCAAATTTAAACTTTTTTCAGCTACTTGCAGCTGTTTTGTGATCCTTTAGATTCTTTTGGCTAACTATAACATTTTGTGCTTCTTCTAACTTCTTTCTGCTAATTTCAGCTTGTTATGCTCCTTTCAGCTTATTTCTGCAAGTTTAGCTTTTTCTGTTATTTCTGCTGTTATTTAGCTGTTTTATGCTGATTTAAGCTTTTTCAGCTAATTACATATTTTTTGCACTCATTTCAACTTTTTCTGCTTAATTCAGCAAAAAATATGCTCTCTCCAATTACTTCTGGTAATTTAAGCTTCTATCTGCTTTTTTTAGCTACTTTCAAGCTGTTTTTTTTCTTCTGCTAATTTTAGCTTTTTTTCAGATAATTGCAATGTTTTGTGCTAGTGTCTGTTTCTTTCGGCCTAATTGGACAAACACGTGTTCTTTATGTTTTCTTCTGTTAATTTAAGCTTGTTCTACCTTTTCAGCATTTTTTTCCTCTAATTTCATCAAAGTTCATATAAATTAAATTTTTTTGTGGTAACTCATTATACTAATTAGCCTAATTAACTTATTTATGCTAATTATAGCTTGTTTCGCCCCTTTCAGCTTAATTCTGCTATTTTCAGCTAATTTCAGCTACTATTTAGCTGTTTTATGCTAATTTCAGCTTTTTCAGCTAATTCCACTTTTTTTTTTTTAGCTCATTTCAGCTTTTTCCACTTTCTTATGGTAATTTAAGCTTCTTTCTGCCTTTTCAGCATATATTTATTAACCTAATTTCATTTATTTTCAGAAAAATTAAAGTTTTTTTGTGGTAATTTCTTCTACTAATTAGCCTAATTAACTTCTTTATGCTAATTTCATCTTGTGCTCCTTTCAGCTTAATTTGGCTATTTTCATCTTTGCATGCTATTTCAGCTACTATTTAGCTGTTTTATGCTATTTCAGCCTTTTCAACTAATTCCACCTTTTTTTTAACCTCATTTCAGCTTTTTCCACTTTCTTCTGGTAATTTAAGCTTCTTTTTGCCTTTTCAGCTTTTTTTTTTGTTGTTGTTAATTTCAGCTTTTTTAAATCTAATTTCCTAATTTTTTTTGCTTATTTAAACATAATTAAGCAAATATGTGTTCTTCTGTTTTCTTCTGCAAATTTAGGCTTGTTCTTCTTTTTCAGCTACATTTCAGCATGTTTTTTAAGCTAATTTCAGCTGTTTCTCAGCAAGTTCTTCAGCAATAAGCATTCACACTGCAGTTTATCTAGTTCCATTAGTATGCATGATGAGCTGTACCCTGCGCTGCTCAGTAAATATTACAAACTGCCTGCACAATTAAAAACACACACATACAAGGACCTGCACTGCACCTGGTATATAAGCTAAAACATAGCTCAGCCCTGCATGGTTTAATGCACTGTGCTCCAAAAATCCCAGTGAAGTGGTGAGAGCAGCAGATGGATTATGCAAACACATTCATTAGCGTGCCAAATGCGCAACAACAAGTAGTGTTACTGATGCTGTTTAGTGAACTGGAAGAGAGCGGTAAGCTTCGTCTCAAATATGCCAGAAAACCCAGAAAGGCTTTCAGAACTCATCAGCCTTTCCTGCTAACGGTGGGGAACTCTAGGACATCTGTTTTCACAGCTCTTTGAAGCTTTGTCTGACGGCAGCAACATCTGCTGCTCCTCATGTGATTGAGTGAAAAACTGGATTTTCCAAACATTTGTTATTCGCTTAGACAACAATTAGGAAAACAGTAACTACCGGTACATTATTACTGTACAAACGGATGTGAAAACTGTTTGTTGAAGGTAAAACTGTGCATGTTATCAGCTCTGATGAAAATCCAAGTAGTTTTTTTTATCCTGGAGCAGGCTATTTTTATCAAGTCCATTGTAAAGCTCTCTTCTTTTGTTAGGACAGAGAACTTGGCATTTAAGGATCAGGATGTGACTTTATTAAGGCGTTCACAACCCTTCCTGTTTAAGCCAAAACTTAAAAAAAACAAAGCTAGGGATGCAAAGCGAATATTGGATTTGATTCTTTTCATTGCATACACAAGTTCTTGCAAAAGACTCTTCAGGGTCATATGCACTGGATAAAAAGAAATAAGGGTATGCAGAACCTACAAAAGATAAAACAGTTGGAAGAATTAGTAACAAAAGGCTTCACATCTTTATCGTTTAATAATAGAAAAAGAAAATGAAAGTGTACAAACCCATTCCATTGTGGTCATAAAAACTTTTTTTTTTGCTCCTTTAGAATAAAAACATCCTAAAGTCCATTTTCATGGGGTCAAATTAAGAACAGAAAGACAGAACTCCCTCTGAAACTCAGTGTGAACATGTAAAAACTAACGGCCTCTTCTGCATTATGTGCTCCTCTGACAGAAAAACAAAGGCTAAAGACCAAGCACTAAAGCGAGTGTGTTTTGAGTGTGTGTCGTCTCTGCTGCTAACTGAATGAGCGCTCATTACCACTCGAACAGGAGAGAGAAAGGGAGGAGGGCTCTAAAAAAAAAAAAGGACCCCGAGCTCCTCGCACCTTTGTTAGAAAGGGCATTGGAAACTTGAAAATCTGAGAAAGCGCAGCCGAGTCAGTACATCTAACTTGTCCAGATAAATAATTGAAGTCTGCATCAAGATGTGTTTGAGCAAATGAGTTTGATAAGAACAGACTTGTGAGGCATTTCTGTGTCAACTGGGACTACGGGACAGGCTTTCTCTTTAAACTCTACCCCCTGCTCTCTTCTTGTGCAAAGCAGGAGACATTAGAGGACAGATTAAATCAAAGCTCTGCACTGAAGCGCTGGCAAAGTTCGAGATGAATAGCTTTACAATGACTCAGGAGGAAAAAGGTGAGATGGACACAGGTGCATTGGAAAACTGCAAACTTTTAGTCATTATTTCAGAATTTGAAACTCATGCATTACAGAGAATCATTACACACAGAGTGAAATACTTTCAAGGCTTTATTTAATAGAATGTCGATGATTATATCTTCCAAATAGTCCTGTCGTGATAACAAATTTCGCTGGACGATTAATTGTCTCCGAAATTATTGTGATAAACGATAATATTGTTTGAAATTTAACAATAATTAATTGTCAATTCGTAGAAGAAATGTTGATTTGTTTGGAGTGTAGTACCTTTTTTTGACCACCTGATGGCAGTATAAGATTGAACCAAGTTGAGCAGCGTGTTTCTTTAAGAAAAATGGGAGGGAGGGTCCTTGACGTGACATGGGCTGACATGGCATACGCTCGGTGTGGTTTGAGCTCTTTAGCATAACATTTTTCACACAAAGCTTTTAATGAAAAAAATCAATAACAAGTTCTCAGCTTCTTTTTTGCAAAGAAAAAAAAACTTTTTACACAAAGGCTTGGAGTTCAACCGTGAATTTTGGAGCTCAACAAGACGGAGGTTTATTCATGAGGTCGGCCTGTTAGCTTAGCTTCTCAGTTTAGCTGCTTTTAATGATCCAAAAACGTGATTGTGGACGGTTAAAACAGATTTTAAAGAGAAAAGGAAAAGGGAGGGGTTAGTGAAGAGCACTGGAGTTGGGCCTTGTCTCCAGTAGAAAAAGAAACACGAAGAAACGATAAAGCCGATAAATGAAAATGAGGTCGATAATTTTCATTCATCGTGCGATTAATTGTTTTATTGTTTATCGCGACAGGCCTAGTTCCAAGTAATGAAAAATCAAAATTCAGTGTCTCAAACATTTAGAATATTAGAATATTACATAGCCAGACAAGAAATAAAGGCTTGAAATATTTCACTCTACGTGTAATGAATCTATGTAATATGATTAACAAAAAAAAATGATAATTTTTCGCAATATTCTAATTTTTTGAGATGCACCAGTATTTCCAATGATGAGATTTGCCAAACAACATACCTTCCTAAAAGGTAGATCTTAGAAAGCTTAATTATATCGATGCTTCAAGTTCAGACATGCAGTATGAAATAGACCAAATGCATAAAGAGACAAAAAAAAAAGTTAAGAAAACAACAAGAAAAAACATATTCTCTTTATTATGGCATACATAAAACTGTTTCTCACCTGTTTTTCCAGTTTCTGTTGCATAAAGTTGACATCATCGCCTTCAATGCAGCTGCACACGAAAACAAAACAAAATTCACATTCATTGTAATTCCACTATTTAACCAGCAGAGGGCAACACTTGCACTATTACGTCAATAAAATATTATAAGCAACACAACAAAACTATAATTATCTAAAATTATCTTACCGAGTCATTAGAAATGTGCATTTGAAATAAAAATATATATATATAATAAACCTGTTTTCCAAACTTGCTGAGAGCTTCCCGTCGTCACTTATCTAAAGGGACTGATCCCATGTTGCTAAGCTACAGCGATGAGAGAGCACTACAGGCCATGTCACTGCTGTCGTGTCTGATTCGGGGACCTACAGTAGCTCTGCTCCCATCTCACTGTCCAACACACACAATGAGTCACAACTCTGACGTACAGATCGCTGACTCTCATTTCTCTTTTAGCTTGTCCTGTTGTGTAAACGTAGAAATACCACGTTTACTGCCCTTCTCCTTAAGATGTAAGTTCATCAGATATCTGACTTTTCTTAAGTCACTTTAATGGTGCAGATTGCAAATGATCCATAACATTAAAGACTTTAAAAAAATCAACTAAAACACACAAGTAAATGCTTTGATAAGGCTTGCTATGTTTGTAGTACAGCTATGGACTCATGACTCATAATTATGCTACCCTTTGTCAAAAAATGTGTCATCTTGCACCAGAGAGTCAGATAATGACTAATAAATCCTTCACTAAGTGCCCAACACTATTCACAAGCAAGCGGGTCCCCTGAGAGGTCTTTATGGCACCTCAATAGGAGGTGGTGACAGAAAGGAAAGCAGGAGTGCAGCGTAGTTCTTTCCACCTGCAAGTGTTCGTGAAGCAGTTTTAACTTTGTCCCATCATTTAAAAGTTGTGTAATATGAACATTTGGGTTCAGATCCGAGGTGCGTATTGTCGTTTACCTTGATGTTGAGTTTGGGGAGAAGCTGGCCGAGCTGGATTGTCTTCAGGGCAGAGCAAGACGAACAAGATACATGGAAAACAAAATGTCAAAATTAAATCGGCAAAAAGTGAAAACTGTGTGAATGGTATTTTATTTGCTTTAATGGATCACAACATGCTGCACAGAACATGACGAGAATTACAACAGGAGGTCTTTTACGACAAAATGTTTGTTACGGACAGCCTCACCGCAGATCAATGTTTCATTAGTTTGTCACGGCTTAGGTGAAGAGAGGACACGTCACTTGTCCCTTTCTCGTGTGTTAGACCAAGGTAACCATGGAGATCGTGGCTCCGTCAACAGCACACCTCCGCCATCATTGATTAAAAATCACGAGCCACTTTGTGATGCTTTGCAGTAATTGGAGGCCCCTAACGCTTTGCTGCAAAAATTCACAGCCTGAAAGGACAGTCTGCGAAGATGTGTATGTGTTAGAACAGCGTTGACTAAATCTAAACGTTTACTCGGGACAGTCGCTGCTCGGAGGTCCTTGTGAGACAAAACAAACAAACAGAAACGGTCTTGACTTGTGACCGTCGTGACAAAAGCAAAAGTTAATCAAAACTGATTGCGTAGCGCAAGAAAAGCCATAATCAAACGGCCATCTGATTTGTCACATGCACGTTTTAATTAAAAGCTTTTCACTTTGCCACTTCAAAATGGAATTTTTTACCAGAACGAGAGCAACCTAATTCCTGCCAAAGGCTAGTCAACCTCCAGCTTCGTGATGAGCTCAGACTAAAATGAGAGCCGATTAGACGAAACGCTTAAATCTTTGTGTCCATACGAGTCAGACAGCTTCCCTCAAATGACATTCTTTCAGGCCTCTGATGTTATATTTACAGTGCAGGTTGTCTTCAGACAAGTACGATAACTTGAATCTCACTGTGCTGCTGGGATGCTCAGTGAAAAGGTTTTCTGTATATTTGTTGTCAAAGCATCACCAGTCATAAACACACTGGTGCTGCTCTGAGAAAGCAAACATCTCGTCACCTTTTTGACAAAACCACGGTACCGAAACATTCTGAAGGAGCAAAACGCAACAGATATAGTCCAATACTCCATAAGTAAAAGACATGAGACTGGGTCCTGAAATTGTTTCAAGTAAAGACCCTACTAAAAATGTAAGTAAAAAAATATTCCAGACACTGGATCACAAAAAGAAACAACAATTCATATTTATATTTGCAGACAGGTGACTGAAAGCTGGTCAGGTTAGCACCCAGTCGTGTTGTAGCACTTTTTTCTCTGAATGAAGATGCTCCCTTAAAAAAAAAGACATACCGGTAGTCCCTCGCTACTTCGCGGTTCGACTGCACTGTAAAAAGTTTGAACCGTGCCGCCGAAGTTCTGGTGTTTCATCCGGAGCTCACCGAGACTTTTTCCATCTCTTTCAACTGGCCCACGAAGACCTCCGAGTGGGGACGCACTGGTAAGTAAGTTTATTAGCTACATATACGTATGTTGTTAAAATTAGTAGGGATGCACCGATCCACTTTTTTTTTTTACTTCCAAGTCGATCCCGATCCCCAAATCTGGATATCGGCCGATACCGATATCATCATCATTATTGATTTTATATGAGGCTGTAATAATCTCCTCTCTATAGACAAGTACAATTTGTACAGATTTATCTGTATGTATGTGTATATATATGCATACATGTCCAAAAAGGCAACTTGAGGTAAGTTTTATTAATGATGTATAAGTTTCAAAGTTGGAATTAAATTCTGCTAACACAAAACATGTTTTTTTTTTTATTCCTAGCTTTAAAATAGATATTAAGGTGATTCATTTAAGTGACCATTTGTTGAAAGTTATTTTATTTATTTTTTAAATAAGGGGAAGATATAAGAATTTTTTTCTTCTTTCTGCACTCGTCATTTAATGTTTTTGTCTTTTTGATGGTTTTGTTTATTTTAAAATGAATGAATTAAATAAAAAAATTAAATGGCTTTAAACATATGCTAAGTTCATGGCATAAACCGACACAGACATGTTCCTGTTTTTAGTATTTTACATCACTTTATAATGTAGCTATGCAATTTTCAATTCATGTTTTTTTTTTTTACTTTTTATGATTGTCTACTGTTGTACTGAATATCTCCTGGAGGGTAAACTATATCTTGACTGCAAGTATCAAGCTACAAAATCCTTCGTTTTCTACAACTGATAGTGGTTGGTCATTAATTGCAATGAAGTTTAGCAACTTCTCTGTAAACATTCGAGCTCCGGGGCTTCAGCGGTGTGTTGTTCTTGTTCAGTCCAAAGCAGAAAGTCTGATTTCGGTCAGTCGTGTTCAGTCTGCCCCTCCTCCGAGACGGGCAGACTGAGCAGGGTGGATTGGGTGCGGCTGGACGGGGTCGGGCTGCCTGCTTCGGATTGAGCGAGAGTAGTAGACCGCTGAAGCTACGGAGCTTGAATGACCAATGTAAAACTGACTTTACCGCGGTTTATTGTGGTGCTATGGCTCTGCAGACATTGCACGTTGCCGTCTTGCTTTGTGGTGTTTCTAGTGTAAAATACTTCCACACAGCGGACATGTTTCAATGAAAAGTTGGTTAGCTGTTAGCCACAGTGCTACTGCACGTTGTAGCTGGATACAAACTATGAAATGGATTTCCTGAATGTGAGGCGGGTCTTATTACTCTGGGTTCATGAGACACGCCTCCGTTCAGGAAATCCATTCCATAGTTTGAAGCTAATGTGCAGAGCAGCTGGCAGGGAATCACATGAGGAGACGTTTCATCAGACACAGACATGCATCATGGATCGGAAATCTCTGCAGGTTGGATCGGAAAAATCCGATACATAAATTATGCTGGTATCGGAGGCCAATACCGATACTGGATCGGCCCCATCCCTAAAAATTAGTGGGTTTAAAAGTTTAGAACATTGTTTGTGGGCTTTGTTGCTGCAGGGTACATCTGCAGAAACGAACCAAGTTGGGCCGGAACCAAGAGCTGTTGCTGTTCTGGAGAGCTAGTAAGTAAAATTTAGTAGCTACATATACAGTACTGTGCATATGTTGTTCAAATTTGTAGGTTTAAGAGTTTAGAACATTGCAAGAGTGTGGGAAGTGTTTCTAAAGCCTTAAAATATACATACATACTAAAATAAATATAACATCACTATTGCGCAAATTTTCTCTTACTGCGAGTGGGGGGGGGGCCTAAAACCCACAAAAAACGAGGGACTAATGTATTCTAGGCAGCAGCATGAACTGCATTAAATCTGTCTCATTAAAACATAAATGACACCTTCACAGATCTGAATGGTACCCAATGCTATGTGGCCAAACAACAATGCTTTTTCTTATATTTTGGTATATCATGATTTTCACATACATCCTACAGTATTTAAAATGGGTTAAGATAAAGGTTACTTGAACGCGTCCTCTCAGATAAAGAGAAGCAGCAGCATTTCTGGCTCATGTTGGGTCAGAACTAATAGATTGTATAACTAAAATGAACTGTGACTACCGGTAGTTATCAATTGCATGGATGCCAAAAGTAGAAGCTACACATGTATGGGTGCAGAGGAAGAAAATGATCAGCGAAGACATGTAACAGCCTGGGTCATCTTTCAGAAATCAGTCGGATGGATTTTCTCAGCACTCTGTTAGTTACATGGACGTTCCAGTCAAGCAGCCAAAACACACACACACACACACAGAGTCGGCTGGACACAATTGCCAACTCTGGTTACAACACACACAGTCACAGCCTGATGCTCTGAATAAGTAACGACATGGTGGTAGAAACATGAGCAACAGGCACAATTTGACTGCAAGTCAGTTTGACCAGCTTGTTGAAAGACTAGGAAGTTGTTGGAAGAATAAGTTAGAATAATTATGATTTTTTTCTACAGTATTAAAAAGAAAAAGAACACAGATAACCAAGTTTGCAATGCCAGGTATTTTAACATTTGCATACATAAAAAAAGGCACAAGAAAGAATAAAAATAAAACAGATTTGAACTAAAGACTGTGTGCCTGTTTGTGCAGGTACCTGTATGACCAGCGGCTGTAGATGAGCTGAGATCCGTCACTCTTTACAGTGTCCATGGATGCAAAGGCAGCAATGCTAATCCTCAGACAGCACAATCCAACTCTTCACCTTCGTGGTTTGCGTTCCACTCAAAGACCTACAGGCTCCTAGATCTCTTGTAAATGTTAACTGGGGAAGATTAGCTTTACTATGTCCCACCCATGGGAGTAACAGCAACACAGCGCCGAGGTAGACTGAGGTTGTGAGGCTTGTGCTGTTACCATGACTTCACACTTCACACTACGCACAAGAATCCAGCGAGGGATAGGTATGAAAGTGTCAGCTAGTGTATTAAAAATACTGGTCGGAAAAAAGAAAGCTAGGGTGTACGATAAATGTGTTCTTGAATCAAGACTGGAATGAGAACAGAGGCAAGACATTTTGGCCTATTTTTCTTTTTTAAATTAGGTCATTCTTCTCCAGTGGCCAGAAATAATTCTCAAAATAATAGCTGGACAAGTTGCCATTACAGGAATACTCCCATTTAACTGTTCAACTACTTCCCAATAACTTTCTGAGTCTAGTCAGTTGTAGCTCATTTCCCCTGACTCATGAGTACAGAGTAAATCAAACCACAGTTAGACATCTTTCATGTCTGCAACAGTGGAAGGTCACTGAGCTCTAAATGCTTTTAATATGATCCCCCATAAGTACGGTAATGTCAACACCAAAGGATGAACGTAAAATTTGAATGCATAAAAGATTTCCAAGTCGGTCACTGTAAACTGAAAAGTGTTGTTTAATAAAAGTGAATCAGATTAAATGAAACCTATTAGATTACCCTTTTTAAAAAAAAAACAGACATAATGTGGAGACCTTCATCTAGTTGCTAGGAGACCACAAGCTCCCATTTGTTTGCCCCTATCTGCAAGAGTGAGAGAAAGATAAAAGCATAAAGAAAATGAGAAAAAGTATTTTGTTTATTTGTCCTGAGACATAACGGTAAAATGGCAAATAAGTCAACCGCTGATGATCGAGGGAATCAAATACCAGAGGGAGTAATTATTGAGCTTCAAACAAATGATGGAAATAAGATGTTGGTAATAATACCACGCCCCACAGGGACCCTAAGAGACACTATGTTTGTGACTCCTCAATAATGACGCTTTGCTATGTTTAGGAAAAAAAAATGGAGAAGTGAGCCAGTATCTGCTTGCCAAGCTTATTGCAAATCCACTCCTGGAACCGTGATTCACTGTGAATATTTTTGACCAAATTTACACAGTTCTCTACCAGCAAACCACATTGAAAGCGTGACAAAACTTAGAAACTTTTCCTTGGGATGGATGGCGGAGAAGCTATGCTGGACTATACGTGTTCCATAAACACATTGTTTAACCACATGTCATACTTTAAGCTACTGAGGTACACCACAGTCCGTGTGGAGATTTTTATTTGGAATAATTGTGGTGCAATGTCTAACTAAGATAGCCTTAAACTGTGCAGACAGAGTGAACAACGATGAACAATCTGAGAAAAACTAGCTCCGGTATAATTTGCAGTAGATCGGGCATGCTATTGTACATATATTATTTCCCAGTGGACATTTTGGTGGGAGTACAAATGCTGACACTAAAACATGACGTTCAACAGCTGATTCATGTAAGCAGCCCTTGCAAACAAACGCTACATTGGTGATAACGTTATGAAAACTGTCACTCCTCAAATGTTTCATCCCTGCATGGCTGCACAGTCTGGGATTTCTAGCTGCATTAAGCTGCCATGTGCCTCGTTAAATAGTATCAGTTTTAAAAAAAATGGAGCAAATTATAAATTACAGTTTCACTTTACCACTACACAAATTTTGTCCAGAGCTGTAAATTGTACCACAAGCTTAAAATAAAGATAACACAACTCAGGAAGTGTTATATACATGAAACTATGGTAAACAGACTGTACTTACAGTATATATTTCTATCTTATCAAGATGCTCAAAGCACTTTACACTACAATCTGTGCCCTCATTTACACATTCGTACAGCACCCTACTAGATCTATAGAAAGAATAATCAGTGCTTTATCACATTCATACACTGAAGGGACACACATCGGAGGCAATGAGGGGTTCAGTTTCTTGCCCAGGGACACTTTGGCATGTAACTGCTGGTGGAATCGAACCCCCAACTCTTGCATTGGAGGATGACTGCTATAACCACTCAGCTATTGCCGCCCATAAAACTATAAAAACAACTAAACTATGTAACATGATGTGTTTTTTTTCTTCTTTCAGCTACTCCTTTCTGCAGGGGTCGCCACAACGAACTAACTCGCGCGCAGACTTGGCAATTGTTTACGCCGGATGCCCTTCCTGACGCAACCACAGACTACCGAGCTACCGCAGTCCTCTGTGTGGAGCAGAGAGCTGCTATCTAGGGTGCCTGGGGGAGCAGATGGTGGGGGTTAAGGCTTAAGGGCCTTGCTCAAGGGCCCAGAGTGCAGCAAATGAGTGTGGAGGCAGGTGTGGGTGTTTCTGTTGCCAGTCCGGGGAATCAAACCTGCGACCTTCCAATCACCTTCTCTAATATCTTTGCCACCACTCCCCCATGTGACATTATATATTTGAAGAACTATAATAAACTGTTAACAGGTATTGATATATTTACATATTAGAACAAATCCAAACTTGTAACAATATACAAATAAAACACATTTTCTATGCAGGCCTGTATGAGCCATACTTGTAAATCTTGCAGTATATATCTATTGTTTTCCTGTCGTGGGTCTAAATTTAATCATTTGTTTTATGTTAATTTGGTGAAAGCTCCAGAGATGTGCTGCAGAGAGCCCACGGTGGTAGCCATCCTCAACAAACTGACCAAATCAAACCATCAGACTGGAACTGCAACAGGAAATGGTGGGGGTTACTTTGACTTGTATCTGCCTGGAAAACCAAATCAGGTCTTGGCTCCAGTTTATGTGCATGTCTCGAGAAAAATCCATGTTTGGAACCCTCTGATTTACTGACTTACATGGATGATACTTGTAATGGTTTAGGCAGCTTTGCATATTTGAACAAAGACCACAGACAGGCATGTTCAAACATGTCAGGGCTTTTGTTCCCTCCTGTTTTAGCCACTTTTTTTGTTGTTTAAATCTGAAGTACTTAGCTTTGAGGGTGCTGTTTTACACACTGTGCATGGCTGCATCAAAGTGACTACTGTCGAACAAAAATGTGAGTTTTTTAATGTCTTTTTACCCTGTAAGGCATAGTTCTATAAAAATACATATTTTAACATATGTCTGTTCACGTTATTTTTCTCAAATATGTCCTAATTTAATCATAGCTACTAAAACACAACCGTTTTTAATTTTCTCGTTTTTGTGCTTTCTCTTTGACTAGATTTACCCATTTAATTTTACAACTTTTTTCCAGTTAGAAAGCTCACCACCCATATAAATCGTCAATAATAAGCAAAATACCACGTTATCAGTGATTTTGTGCGACGTTAGTTGGGAAAAAATACCGCTACAAGCTAATGCTAGCGGTCTCAGCCCAGATGCTGTCTTTTTAAAAGTTGTGGGTGACAGTTAAGTTTTTCTTCGCACAAAATGATGGCGACTACTCCGGTGCTTCTTGTTACACAATGAATACAAAGGAGCACGTCGAACAAGTAACGTTATAAAGTCTTCTCACCTTATGCTGTAGTAACTCATGTTTATCCGCGGTTGCTAAGGGAAAACCTCTCCCGACGTCCTGCACTTACTTGTGGACGCGCTGTGAGAAAAGCTCTAGCGGTACAGTGCCCTTGGTTACCAAGCGCACCAACAACGAGGGTTGTGATTGGTCAGCCAAATTTTTTAGCTCGAATTTGATTGGAGGATATTCTGCATAGAGGCGGAGTCTGATAGTTGATTGATATTTGTATTATACTAATATATTTGTTCAATAACATTGAAAATATGCGTCACAATTATATAAAAATTAGTTTTATGTCACTATATTATATTTTTTCAATACAGAAGTTACAGTCAATCGATGAAACTATATTGCGCTGTTGTTCAGTTAAGAGATGTTTTGTCTACATTTGTCTTCTATTCATAGCCATAAGTTATAAAAATAAACTGAAAACATTTTGTCACTTGTGTATACGTATTTATTTTAGATCCAAACTGCTGCACTTTACTGACAAAATGTTCGTTACAAGGTCAAACTAATTCTTGAAAAAAATAATTCTTTGTTGTTATGACAATTACTAAATGCAGAATTTCTAACACCACAGTTCAATTTTACGTTATTCTTTTAAAGCATTGCACCCGTTAAAATGCAACTGTGTTTGTTTGGGTTTTGTTTATTGCAGTGATGAGCACGAGTAATGTCCATATTAAGTTAAAGAGAAATTTCATAAGACTATATTGACTTTGAATAGCAACAGCGCATCAATAAAAAACAAAGTAGCAATTGTTTTGATAGTTAAAAAAAAATGACTACATCAGCTTTGAATTAGTGCATCTGTCTCAGAAAGGTGTCCCCTCTCTTTTAACATCAGCATCAAATGATTTCTCCTCCTCCATGTCACCTTCACTCCATAATCCTTCTCCGGCGTGTCATCCACCAGAATATCAGGCCTGTTACATGGCGGTGTGCATGGCTGAGCAAGTAGAAAATGTACAGAGGGCAAGGAGGGAGAACTGCCCGCTCCCTGCATTATTTCTGGAGCGTCTACATCAGCTGGTGGGCTGACACTGCTGACCTCAGTGGTGGCAGGTGTTGAAGCTCCCTCTGCTGGAATTCTGCAACTGTTCCTAACTTCTGTTGATTGAAGTCCGGGTTGATCCGAACACTTGACAGAAGATGCAGCACACTCCAAAACTGCTTTGTCATCATCTTTGCAGACTTTTAACCACCGTCTCTTTTGTGCACCTGAGCAATGTCCATTTAAGATTGTTTTTTTGCTTTGGCATGATCCCAAACGTTGATTTCTAGCTTTAGGCGACACGGTGCACTCTTCACCTTTCTTTGTGCTTGTGCTCGTAGGCTTAGGAGATTTGTCTCTCGTCCCTGTTTGAAACTGAAGTGAGGGGAACTTGCCCACTCTGTTTTTTCTGGACAGCTGACTGAATCGGTCAAGGACGCTTGTGGCGGACTGACATTTTCTCCTCCCTCGTCTCACTGGAGACGCAGATGCAACCACACTGTCAAACTGTGGGTTTACCTGAAACATTGAAAACGCACAAAAAATTAAGCCCAACGATTATAATTAAATAATGTAGTTCGCTAATACAGGACTTGTTGGTGCAGCCTTTGATTTTATTCATTGTCACAACTGTCCAGACTTGAAAAATGTGTGATCAGTGCTCACCCCGCTGTCATGACTGCACATTGTCATGTCTAATGTCAGTATCCTCTTAATACCGTGGCAGACATGCCCCAACATTACATTAGTGCTGTGAAACTCACAGAAAGATCAAACAATGAACAACTTACCCAGGAATTAAGAGTTGAACTGTGCTGTATTTGTGTCTCAGTGAAAAACTCTTTGGGAGTGAGTGCAGCTCGTAATTCAGGTACATTTTGAAGTTTGGCTCCACGCACAGGCCGTTCCAGGAATAGCAGGGCAGGCTTCTCAGTCTTTGCGACTTTGCGTGGCATTAATTTAAGTAATCCATGAACATCTGGTGGGAAAACAAAATATATCAATTGACGTGTTTAAAAAAAATGAATAGCTAACTTTCTATCGGAGCCAAGCAGTATACATTTGAATCATTTATCTCCTAGCAATTAGCCCGGCATTACTTACGACGTTGTTATTCTTAGAGTAATACATTTCCATCATTCCACGCGGTTATCAAATGAAGACAAGTTGAGTTTTCCATTCACGCAGCATTTTGTTTGTTCCTGGTTTTCTTTTTCTTCTTCGTATTCTTCTTTCTTTGTTTTCATGCAGGCGCGCTACCGCCACCTAGAGGACCTACCCTCATCCGTTCTCGATCTCCTATTGGACCATTTTTTACCACGTGATCAAAGTGACAGGAAGCTGCGCCAACAGCGCCAAAATTCAAAAACGGTTTCTGTATTGATCAGACGACATGGCACGTCATATTTGACACAAAATAAAAGATTTTGTAGGCACCGCAGGCCTTTGATAAAACAAAAAAAAAAACATTTTAACATGGGTCCAGGGGTTCAACATCAAGTCGGAGTTCAGCCAAGCAGGACCGCCTGAAACATTACAAAATATGAAGGTCTGACTTCATTTGTTTGCTATTCGTTGTAGTAGCGCTAGCTAGCTAGTTGAGACAAGTAGCAGTCTTTTAGGTTTTAAAATGGGTATTCCAAGTCAAGCAATAAAGTACAATTTTCCAAGTTTAACAAGGTCAATTATCTGTTTCGTGTGTGCGTTGAAGCATTGCACTTAGCTTAGGCTCAAGCGACATTTATTATTTCAAAAGGCCCATTGTTTCAAGTGTTTTATCGCTGGAAGGTGTTATAAATAAAGCAGACTCCAAGTGCTGCAGCTCTTTATACAATAACTTCTGACAAACGTTACAAAACGTAACGTCGGGTATGAAACTGATTCATGTTCCAGAATTTGTAAATTGCCAGGAAACAAGACATGATCGGAAAATGAACTGAGCCGGAAACGCTTGGATTTTGTTTCTAAACTTCATTTAGAGAGTGTTATATGATATTTGATCTTATTAGTTTTATTCTGAGTGTGCCATAAATAGATCGCCAGGAAATCCAGCTTTGCTTTGCATTTATTTTCTTCTTTTTTTTAAGTTTACCGTCAGGAGCTAAACGTAAACTTACCGGTAACTATAGTTTGGACGGACTGCTGCTATGATACACTCATGGTAAAATTAGAAGTATAGTTTATTTTCTTTCTAATATGTTAGTCAAAACCTGTTCAGATTTAATTATTTGTCATTGTGTCTCGTTTGCACAGCAAATCAGGGAACCTCAATGGGCATATCACTGAACTGAACATGAGACGGAGTCCCAGGAGACCCCTGATCCTGAAAAGAAGAAAACTACCTTTTCAGCTAAATGAACCAGCATCAGCAGACGCACACGCTCAGCCCGCCGGCTCCAAAGAACCGCCAAAACCAGCTGCCAGTCAGTGCTTTCCTGATGGTGTCCGCATTATGGATCACCCTTCCATGTCTGGTACCCAGGTGGTTGTCATTCCCAAAACAGCAGATCTGCAAAGTGTAATTGGAGCCCTCACTGCTAAAGGTAAAGAGTGTGGTGTCCAGGGCCCAAACAAGTTCATTCTTCTGAGTCAGAGCCAGAACAATGGCTCTTTTTGTCACGCATCCGTGAAAGAAGAATCAGTTCCTCCGAGCAGTGCAGCTGGACAACCAGCAGAAAGCGTACTCGGCTCGCCTGATGCCAAACCCGTCTCTGGAATTAAATCTAGTATGGCATATTTATCTTTAATAATATCTGAAATTGTCTGTATTCGCTCTTTAGTTTGTTGATTAAGCAGTGGTGTTTTTCCATTTATTTTCCTGGTGAATAAAGAAGCGAATGGCAGGCCCTTAGATGACAGCCTTACCAACATCCAGTGGCTGGGCAGAATGAGCTCCTGTGCTTTAGAGCAGGAAGCTGTAAAGCAGGACCAGGAGAACCAGAGCTCAACAACCCAGGAGAACCAGAGCTCACCATCCCAGGATGTACAGGTGTGTCTTGCTTCATCTGTCCGATTTATATGTATGTATATATATGTTTTTATTTTTTAGAGATACTTGTGTGATAAGAATTTTGATCTTAAATATAACTTACAATATCAGGATTTGTATTCAGATAGCAACTGTTGTTAGGTTTGAAATCAGCTTATACATAGAGGGTTTATTATTTGGCTGGATGGTTTTATTTAAACTTTTTTTTACCACTGGAGAATTTTGTATTTAAAGCAGTTAATGTTTGTTAATAAATGCAGCGAAAATAATTCACACAAAAAATGTCCACAAAGAAAGAGTTTCTATTGCTTGCTGATAATAGGAAGGTAATAGAATATTTACAAATGTTGCTTGAGTAATCTTTCTATGAATAGCTGTCAAAACTCAAACATATTTTTGTCTCTTTTTTTTTTTTCTCTGTGTGTGTGTTTACAGGAATGTGCTGCAGACTGTGGCCAGCAGTCCATGGCAGAGAGGCCTCCATACTCCTACATGGCCATGATCCAGTTTGCCATCAACAGTAGTAACAGCAGGAAGATGACGCTGAAAGAAATTTACACTTGGATCGAGGACCATTTTCCTTATTATCGAGAGGTGGCCAAACCAGGGTGGAAGGTAATTCAGAACTGATGCAGAGTGATGGATTGTTAGCACATTATTGCAGCAAATGAAAGAATGAGTCTTCTTTTGGGTTTTCTGCAGAATTCCATACGCCACAACCTCTCTCTGCATGACATGTTCATTCGTGAGACGTCGCCTGATGGTAAAACGTCTTTCTGGACCATCCGGCCTGAGGTCAATCGATGCCTCACTTTTGATCAGGTGTACAAGGTGAGCATGTAAACACATGATACATATTTTTAATTGCTTTTTTTTGTCAATAAAGCTTTCTGTATAGTTCTGTTTTTAAACATATCAATAGTGGCTATCTTTCTGGACAGCATTTGCACCCTTACCTAGGCCTATCGCAATAAATCAATTAATCGTGCGATAAATGAAAATGATCAACCTCGTTTTCATTTATCAGCTTTATCGTTTCTTCGTGTCTCTCTCTTTCTACTGAAGACGCTGGGTGACAAAAAGCTCAACTCCGGTGCTCTTCGCTGACCCCTCCCTTTCTCTTTTTTTCTCTTTTCTTTAAAATCTGTTTTAACCGTCCAAAATCGCATTTTTGGATCTTAAAAAAAAAAAGATCAGCTGAGAAGCTAAATTAACAGGCTGACCTCAGGAAAAATCCTTCGTTTTGTCGAAGCTCCAAAAGTCACAGTTGAAACTTGTGCCTTTGTCTAAAAAGTTGTTTTTCTCTGCAAAAAGAAGCTGAGAACTTGTTTACTGATTTTTAAAAAAAATTTTATTAAAAGCTTTGTGTGAAAAATGCTATGCTAAAGAGTTCAAACCACATCGAGCGTCCGCCATTTTGAGGACCAAAGAGAGACAGCCCATGTCACGTCAAGGAGCCTCCCTCCCATTTTTCTTAAAAGAGACACGCTGCTCACTCCCTCACCATCCGTCCTTTGGTTCAAACAGTCTTATACTGCCATCCGGTGGTTGAAAAAATCTTTTCATTTTTTCTAAGATTTGACAATAATGACTAATTATCGTCAAATTTCAAACAATATTATCGTTTATCGCAATAATTTCTGAGACAATTAATCGCCCAGCAAAATTTATTACTGTGACAAGCCTACCCTTACCTTGAGCATAATTTGCTATTTAACTGCTATGATCAAACAGTTTTTTATCATTTCGGTCTCTACATCCCACTCTATAGCCTTTTTGTGATCCAGCAAGTGCTACTACTCCTGTACCAGTGCTTTCTTGTCCCCAACAAGCAAGACCAGTTGCCTTTTGTCTCGGTTTTTCAGTCAGAAAGCAGCAAAGGGAGAGCATGCCAGTTGTACACACTTGTTCAATAACCCTTGTTCTTTTGGAACCAAAGGATGTAGCTGCACCTGGAGATCTGAGAGCTTTTTGTTGCAGGAGGAGGTGATCTGTGGCTGAACTCACTCTGTTGTGCTTTAAGAGCTTGTATCTTTTGTCTAACAGTGGTTGTATCTGCCTGTTAAATCTATGTAACGTCCCTTCATTCATAGTAGGGACAGTCATAAGGGGTAAACAACACAAAAACAGTGTGCTAACTAAGTTTCCAGGATTGTGAGAAAAGTAAGGCTATATTCTAAAAAGTAATTTTTGATTTATTTTACATGAACAAAAGATGATGACTCCCACGATGAGAAAAACACCAACTTGCACTGGTGAGTTAGGACCTCAACTTGTAACCTAGTGCAGACTTGGGTCTGTTTCAAATGTTAAAAACCTAGTTTATGTGGCTGTTGGTCACAATCCTGTGTTAATGATTTTTTATTGTATCTTTGTGTGTGTCTGTTCAGAGAGAAAAATAAAACCTCTTCTCCCTCGAACCGAATCCTTCTTGGTTCCCATTCAGCTCCCTGTCGCCTCCTCTGTGTATCTGCCATCTTTTTCTACTTCCTTTGGCTCAGCTGGTACCAAGCGGAAACATAACTTTTCACGAACAGCTAAGAAAGTCCGCATAGCTCCAAAGGTAAAAACTTCATTTTGCTGTTGATGTTTTCTGTTTGAGAGGTGAACTATTGAATTGTTCCATTATTTCAGGTCAGAGTTGTCATATCTGGTATTACCGTAATTTCTGGACTAAAAGCCACTACTTTTTTCGCACATTTAGAACACCGCAGCATATACAATGCTGCGGCTAATTTATGGATATATTAGATTTTTTTATTTTTTTTTGACAGGCTAACAAGCTTCATGCCACAAAAACATTTAGCCTCGTCACACCCGGGCGCTCGCATAGCTGCCCAATACACGTCTCTCTTGGGGGGGGTTCTTGTGGCGCAGTGAGACTACTTGTATAAATAATGGTTAAAAACAAACAAAAAAAATCTGATCAATGAAATTACCGAACCGGTCATAGTGGGAAGGAGGGGAAACTTAATTCCCTCCCCATTGTGAAACGAAGTTTCCCCCTTCCCTGAGGGCACAACAAAGTATTTGCTGCCACTCGAATTAAGTGTGATTCGTGCATTAGTGCATAAGTGTTGTTAAAGTCTTTTCTTCAAGAGCTAAGTAGCGAAGCTACAAGCTAACTATGGCCGGCTTGCCGTAGTGTTGCCGTATTCAAACGCATGCGCAAAACGCTGTTCCGTCAAAAGGGTTTTTTTTGTTTTTGGTTTTTTTTTCCGGCGAAAGTTAAAGTAAGCAAAACCTGCTCTCTGATCTGTGAAAAGAACGCTGTGTTGTGTGATTTTACTGCGAGACCCTCTGGTAAAAGCCACAGATTCATTTTGTGTCAGCTCTCCATTAAAGTGGAAGGAGGCGCCAACTAGAGGGTTGGAGGGTGAAGTGTTTCTGTTGCTGTTCATTTCTTAAGTGAGACTGGAAACTGTTAAGAGTTAACAACATATTATTTTGTTTAAAACATATGGCTAAAACTACATTTGATATCTTTTGCACTACAAGAAAGAAGCCTAATGCTTGATTTGTTTATTATTTAAAAACTCTCTGGACCTAGTGGTGGAATTTACTTAATTCAAAATAAATGATGGCAAAAGGACACCCTATGCTTTTTTTAATTCCTATTGCAAGTTTTATACCAAAAACATATCGTGATATATATCGTTATCGCCACCCTTCACAATATATATTGTGATATGAATTTTATGCCATATCGCACATTCCTAGTATTTATATATACGTGGCAGAGACATGTCTGAGCTGCGCACTGTTTGTACCGACAGTTTTTCAGGCAAGCTGCGAGGGGCATACGGGAAGAAGCAGTTAACACGGTGCCTCCAGCTTTTTAGCTAGCGCATCTGTATTTCGCACCGCTAGCTTAACGCTACGTCTGTGCCGGGGTGGGGGTGTTGCAGTTCGGTTTGGTAGGCATGGCGCTTGGTTCTGTGGACAGGGTGGGGCACCCTGTTTGTATAATGGTTGGGGAAACGTTATGTACAAATTAATTTTATGTATTTATTTATTTAATTTAGTGGGCATCTTATATTCAGATGCGCTCAATAGTCCATAAATTACGGTAATTGCCAAACTTCTATAAAGTTTGATGAGTGCTAGCGAGTTTATCGAGGTAATGGTTGTCTGTCTGACAGGTGACACAAAGCGACTCCACAGCTGTGGTTCGATCTCCTCTGAGGAACAACAGCCTAAACGTGGAGATAAAGGAGGAACCTGTTGACGTTTCAGTAAAATGCGAGACTCCTAAAGCACCTCCAAAGGTACAAGCCAGCAGGTCTCGTCGCAAACAGCGCCTCAACTCTCTGCATGAGGAGCCCATTCTCCTCTGTCCTGATAATACCTTCTTTGACTCGGGCGTAGCCTTTGACGCTTCAACATTCCAGGATCAAGATGCTGAGTTTAATCAGCACCAAGGACAAGACAGCCCTGACCAGGAGTTCTCCTTTAAGACCCCTATAAAAAGTAGCAGACTCATGACCTTTTCCACCCCTAGCAAGTCTCCTCCGAATGTTGTGACTGAGCCATGGAAAGTGACTCCTGTTGGCAATCAAAGCCAAAGCGTTCTGGACTTCAGCCCCATTCGCACACCAGGCGGTCCTGCCGTCACCCCACAGAATGACTACACCACCTTCAGCTTCAGCAGCACCCCGTTTAAAGAGTTCTCCTTGTTCAGCTCACCCAGGGAGTTGCTCTCAACCGCTCCCGCCAGAGTCCCCCGACCGAAGGAGACGCCCGTCGAAATCATGCGGAGCAGCTGCTCCAGGGGGCTGCTGCAGACGGGAGCCGCCTCGCCACCTAACCGCTCGATCACGGAGGGCCTCGTCCTGGATACAATGAACGACAGCCTGAGCAAGATTCTGGTGGACATCAGCTTCACTGGACTGGACGGCGAGGACCTCGGCACAGCCAACCTCAGCTGGTCAGAGTTCATCGGGCACTTTTAGGATTTATGACGCTACCGGGCCTCTGATTTTTAGAAAGCACTACAACTAAGAAGCCACGTGCACTCTGATTCAGCAAAGCAGATGCTCTATTTATATACTGTTTTTAAAGATGTCTATACTGAAGGTAAGTGTCAGGGGCAGATAACTGCATTCATCATTAAACAAGGTGAACGTTTTTTTTTCATCCTTATATTTGAATGTAACAATCTGAAAGATACAAATCTAAATGCTTCGATTTTCTTTGGTTTCCAGCTGATTGTAATTTCCTCTTCAGTGGATAAATGCATATATCGAGTTGTTAAAAAAAAAGTCTAATTTGAGCCTTATTTTCAAGTCAAAACAGGAAAAATAGCCACTGCACAGCTTCTAAATTTGGTTTAAATGAGGAAAAACCTTCGTTTAGGTGCGGAGAGTTTCGACTCTTGGAATCCGTTTAGCATCTGCCTGTTAGCTCTTAACGGCTGCCACAGTTAAGCAAAATCCTTTTTCTGTCTAAAGGATCGCTTGTAATTTGATTATTTTTAGTGTTTTTACCCCTTTTTTGTGTCCATTTTAAGCGGAATAATTCTTTGCATGTAAATCTTTTCTTGTATGATTTAACCGGTCCGTCACTCAAAGGAACTGCGTGAGAAGAGGTATATTTAAATCTGTACATACGTTGATTTGCACACAATAATATATAATTTACAGTTTCCATGTGAGCGTGGAAAACTATTTTTGAATTATATAGCGAGAGTTGTTTGGTTCAGCTTTGTGAACCATGTAGACCAGCAATAGCAAAGTATTCCCAGTAAGCAATAGGACTGTGTGAGTTACTGGTAGAAGTGTCGCTCCTTTTTCTAAATGTTCACAGTACTTGTACTTTAGAGTGCCAGGGTCAACTTCAGGATACAGTTTCTATAAAGTGACTGTACATCTGCTGCACATTTAAAATCTTTAAGAAAATACACACGTTTGTATTTACTTAGTGTTTGCGTTGATTTTGGAAGGCAAACTAAACTATGTACAAATACCACGTAATAAATTGGTCTTTTTATGATCAGTGCTTATATGGCAGTACTTGAGTGAATGTTGAGGTTTTGAGATGTCTTAATGTAGCTTGTCTGTTTATTAGAATAGTTTTTTTTTCTTAAAACAACACAACTTTAAGTCCTTTCGTTGATGTAATGAGGTGTAATGTGTCTCAGTGTGAACGCGTATGTTTAAATAAAAACAGTCACTTATGGACGGTAATTTTCAGACTCTTTATTACGTTTTGAGCGTTTTAAAAATACAGTATATACCTGCATCTATAAAAAAAACTACAGCTCTGCACAGTATCTTCATTTCTGGTTTTAAAATACTTGTACAAACTGTACATGCAAAGTTGCATTTAAAGTTGCTGGGAATTTTCAGAATTGGAAACTCCATAGACCTAAAATTTAAAACAGTGAACAGTGCTCCTAGATTTTAAATGCATTTGGGTAAAATATACATGTTTTTTCTAAAACAACCATATTTCATGCAAGTATCTGAGTAAATTTATACCAGGGCTATCCAACAAAGCAGCTCAGGGGCCGGACATCCAGCGATTAAAATCATAAAGCAAAGTTTAAAATGATCTGCTACCTTTTAAATGTGTTTATTTTATTGCATTGAATCATAAACGCAATAAACAGAACCCTAAAAAATTATAAAGTGGGCCGCATTGAAGTCACCGCCACTTGAATAACCCTGATCTATACCATTCCTCAGTCACATGCACACAGCTGTACTGTCGTAATGCAGACGTATTTTAATTATATCTCAATAATTCTGTAGGTTTTCATATAAAATGTTAAACAATAAAACAAAAAAAACTGGCACTAAATTAGCGATGGTCTTTAGCTGCACAGATTGATTGGAGTGCATTGACTGAGAAAAGCTCTCCATTTTGGAATATTTGGAAAATTCTCTAATCTCCCCTGGTAAATTTGCAACCATTTTCAGTATTCTCACTATAAAAAAAAAATATAGTACATGTTTAGTATAAAAGAAATAATACTTCCAGGTGACTTATTTATCCATGAAGCCTGTCAGTGGAAAATGATTTCCAAGTCTTCAGTATGTCTGGACTTCCTGCTGAGCCACTTCTAGAAGGATCTGCATCTGCTTGCTACAGTAGTCTGGGGAGAAAATCAGAATGATTCGTAAATTAAGATGTTTTAATTGAACCCAATCAAACTCAACTTTAGAATCCAAGTTTATTAAAAAGATAGCTTAAATCTAATGTTGACTGTTAGTTCGAGCCCAGTTTCTGATTATTTGATTCTAATTCAAGTCTTCTACACAAACAGCAGATGTCACACTTCCCCCTATTTAGTGTTGAGCCAAAATGAACCGGTTTTGAAAGCCATTGTCTGTGGAGCCAGTTACCCCACCCACTGTAAATCTCTGACTTCTTTGCGCAACTTACTGAAAACGTGTCTCCACCTGCGAGGCAGCCGAAAGCGGTGGATGGTCACATAGTAAACCGGCAGCCCTGTCAGAGTGAGGGCACAGCTTCGTCCTGTGTTCCAGGGGTCCGAGTAAAGTGAGAGGCCCACAATGAAGAAGCAAACCACAGTGAAGGTGACTGGAATAGCCAGGGGCACCTTTTAGATGGGAAATTGGTGAGAAATCAGTTTAATCTGCAGAGGGAAATCTTTACAAGTCAAGAAAAACAAAAAAGAAGAGTGCTAACCTTGAAAGGCCTTGGGTGATGGGGGAACCGGAATCGATGGACGAGCATGCCCAGGGTTGCCAAGGCGATGAAGAACCAGCGAGAGAAGGAGGCAAAGTTGATGAGCTGGTAGATTTCACCAGTGATTAACATCAACACCACCAAGGGGTACTGGAAACGGACAATACGACCTCATTACTCTCCTTGGCTCTCAGACCAGTTTAAAGAAACAAATCTTGTGGGGCAGTGACTTCAGCTTATTTTTCTACGGTCTGGAGCTTTAAAAGAGTTAAGGGGGAGAAAAAAAACCAAGTTAAAAGTACATGGCGTCAACAGGAGAACAAAGGCGATTGTTCAAACCATGTATGCAACGATCAACGACGAAGAGATTGAAGGTTTGTGCAGAACCTCAGAGCTCAGTAATAAACTGTATCCAAGGCTTCTAGATGTGAGTGAGAGAGTGAATGGTTGTTTGTCTCTATGTGGTCCTGCGATGGACTTGAGACCTGTCTAGGGTGTCCCCTGCCTCTCGCACAGTGACTTCTGGAAATGAACACCAGTGACCCCCCACAACCCAAGAAGGAAACGTAGATAAAGATAATGGATGGATTTTTTTTCTTCCCCCAACAACGTTTTATATCAAATGCACATTGATTTCAGAATATGTTACCATTTAACTGGGTAGATGACTGGTTTAAAATCTGAAAAAAGTGAAGAAACGTTTCGTCCCCCATCCAGAGGACTTCGTCAGCCTGCCAACCAGATCTGTCCCATAGGTAGCCTTCATTGCTGTGTTTCAAGCCAACCTCCTGTTGGAATCTCAGAAGCAGATTGTAACACGTGCAAACAGAGCACACCCATCCGAAACCTTCAATCATCATGAACAGCAATTCCCTCTTTATAAGCATGGTGAAAAATGTGTGTTCACTAATTACAGACCAATATTGTTGTTGCCACAATTTTCAAAAATATTAGCGAAATTATTTGTAACCAGATTAGATCGATTCATAGATAAACAGAATATTTTAAGTAATAGTCAGTATGGGTTTAGAGCAAATAATTCAACATCAACGACTCTCATGGAACTAATAGAAGAGAGAACTGATGTTGATCAAAAACAGTATTGTGTTAGTGTTTTGTTGATTTAAAAAAAAAGGCCTTCGACACTATTGATCACACCATTCTCCTTGAAAAACTGAATAAATATGGCATTAAAGGATTAGCACTACAGCGGGTAGTTATTTCAATAATAGGAGACAGTTTGTGCAGGTAAACGATGTAAGATCTGAATTTTGTGTTAATGCATGTGGAGTTCCTCAGGGCTCCGTGTTGGGACCAAAGTTGTTTATTTTATATGTGAATGATCTGGTTGATGTGTCAGGGCTTTTGAAGTGCGTTTTATTTGCAGATGATACCACATTTTTTTGTTCGGGTGAAGATATTGAACGGATGTTAGAGATGATACAGGCAGAATTTGTAAAAGTGGCCTCTCCACTGGTTGGTTCCAACTTAAGAAGTTATCATTAAATTTGAAAAAAACAAACTACATGATATTTAGTAATATAAATAAAATTATCGAAGTCCCATTTAAAATTGACAGTATTGAATTGCATAGAGTTCATGAAATAAAATATTTGGGTGTTGTTACTGATGAGAAGCTGACATGGAAATCTCATGTGAATTACTTAAGAATAAAATCAATTGCATTACTGTATAAAGTAAAAAAGTTTTTGAATGACAAAGCTTTGTATATATTGTATAATGTAATGACTGTTCCATATTTAATCTATTGTACTGAAGTTTGGGGAAAAGCATGCAAAACAATTAAATCCTATTTTTATTTTACAAAAAAGAACTATAAGAATTATTAGTAGTCAGTGCTTTGGTCACCCAACAAATATATTATTTCATCAGTTGAAATTATTAAAATTTTATGATTTGGTTGAATATAGTACTTTACAAGTCATGTATAAAGCTCATAAAAAATATTACCCCCAAATATTCAATTAAAATGTGTTTAAAAAGAAAGTCATTATAACCTTAAGGGAATGGAAATGTTTGTAAAACCTCCATTTAGAACTAGTCTGAAGGAGCTGCGTTGTAATTCAGGGAATATGATTGTGGACTTGCCTCGATATGACCATAAAAATGTCTAAAACAATTTATATTTTAAAAAGATGATTAAGGTAAAGTTGTTGGGAAGGTATGGTGTCAGGCGAAGGATGCCTGATATTTTTAGTTTTTGTTTAGTTATTATTATTTTATTTTTTTTAAATAAGGAGCAGATATAAAGAATTTTCTTCTTTCTGCACCCTTTTCGTTCAATGTTAATTTTTATTTTTGATGAATTTGTTTTGTTTCTTTTAAACGAATGAATAAATGTAAAAAAAAAAAAAAGCAATCAAGAGAAAGAAACTGGTCCAGATGACACGATTTAACCATATTTGTTGTTATCTACCCGAATGCCTGAGCTTACAAAACTTGTTTCATTGCTACCAAACTTACCAGGAAAAGCACAGCAGGTAAAGGTGTCTGCCTTCGGATGTGAATCATAGAAAATATTTGCGGCCAGTGGCCCTCCCTGGCACCTACAAAAAGCATTCTAACAGTGAAAAAAAGACAGGTCAACCATGCCCGAGAAGAATGACAACGATAACCTTTCTCCTCACAGATTACCTAGGTGACCCAAAGAAGCCACCGTTAAGTGCTCCAAGGCAAGATAAGGCGACAAGTATAGGGATCACAGAGGCCAGACCACGAAGAGCTCTGTCAGCAAACGTCTGCAGACATACAAACAGATCAATGTCAACCCGCGCTGACATATTCCCTCCTCTTTTCCTTCTTTGTGGACAGTAATGTTCTGAAGAACTGACCACAGCCACTGCATCAGACAGCAACAGCTCAGCCGGTGTCATCATGGTGTAGTAGGCCACATTAACAAGCACGTAGAAGATGGTCACCGTCACCATGGAGCAGACTATTGCCAGCGGGATGGTTCTGTTAAGAAATCATGCACACATAAAGCAACCTCTTGGAGGCATTTTTGTGAATACAACTTTTAAAATGGGGCAAATACATGAAAAATACCTGTTTGGGTTTATGACTTCCTCTGTGACAAAGTTCAGATAAAACCTAAAGGAAAGAAAAACCAAAGTAAAATTTACAGTAAAATCTTGTGTATATTATGTGTTTGCTTACCATCCACCATATGCATAAAGGCCGTTATAGAAGGCCAGCGGCAGCCTGTCCAGTGTTATTGAGTCCATCTCAAAACCGTTCTGGAAGTTTTCTGTTTTTCCTGCAAAGAGGACAGCACAATGCAGAAATATGGCTAAGACGCTCGTTAGGTAGCAGTTTGTTTTACCATATCAGCGCATCACAAGTGAATGTCTCTACCTTTGGCTAGTGCGATGACACCTGGAATGATTATAAGGACCAGCGCAAACATCTTAATGAAGGTTAAGGTGACTTGGGTGCGAGAGGCCACTTTTACGCTCCAGCAGTTCACCGCAACAACAAACGCTACAAAGACAACACAATTACTGTTTTGATGGGGGGGTAAGTTTACAACGTACTACCAGTGGTGGAGAAAGTACTCAAACACCGTACTTAAGTAAAAGTACAAATAAACAGACAAAAATGTACTCTAGTAAAAGTAGAAGTGCCACATTAACATTTTACTTAAGTTAAAGTAAACAAGTATACTTACTTTTAAAAATACTTGAAGTATTAAAAGTAAAAGTACTTGCTGATTGTATTACCTAACGCAATGGTCTATATCATAAGTGTGCCTACTGTATGTATATTTCCTGTAATATATTAATAGTGTTGTGTCATTTTAATGAACAATGCTGCAGATAATACATGTTTTTATTGTGTTTACTCTGTGACACAGTTCACACTTGGACTTGTGATTCTGTGCGTCAGAATTTTAGGGATGACACGCAAAGTTGAATGCTATTAAGCAAAATAAGAAAGAGGAATGATTACACCTTTGAAAGTTTTTATTTAACACAAAGGAAAACCAATGTGTCATTTTAACTGCAGTAAACACATTTAAGTAAAAGTTGTCTGACAGAAAAAAGGAGCATTAGACACAACTAACAAAGAAATAGACTCTGATCATTTCAACTACAGTTTGTCATCAACTCTAGTTAAAATACTGTCTAGTCGACCTTGTAATAGTTCAATAGTGAACTATACCAATATATACATATATATATATATATACTTTTGTAATCAAATATGTGGGGAGTGGTGGCGCAGAGGTTAGAGAAAGTGGGCCTGTAATCGGAAGATCGCCGGTTCAAGCTCCGGTACCGACAACAACAAAAATGTGGGTGGGGTAAGTGAAGCACCCACACCTGCCCCCACCCTCATTCATCCCACTCTGGGCCCTTGAGCAAGGCCCTTAACCCCCACCATCTGCTCCTCTGGGTGTCCTAAATAGCAGCTCTCTGCTCCACACAGAGGGCTGTGGTAGCTCGGTGGTCTGTGGTTGCGTCAGGACGGGCATCTGGCGTAAAAATAACTGCCAAGTCTTTGTGCGATTTAGTTCGCTGTGGCGACCCCTAACGTAGGGAGCAGCCGAAGGAAGAAGAAAAATATATATATATATTTATACAATAACTATATATTATACTGTATATATAGATATATGTATATATATGTATTTAACTATATATATGTATATATACAGTACATGTATGTATATATATATATATATAT